CCCCTAACATCCCGAAGAAGCCCCATGATCGGGGGCGCGCAAGCATGGATTAACGATCCATGGATTTGGCGCGCGGTGGCCAAATCCATGGATCGGGGGAGGGGCCCTCCCCAAAATGTGGCCGGTGCCGCGGAAATCCGCGCTTCCCCATGGAAGCGGGACCCGCCGCTAATCCACGCCCCCGTGATCCATGTTTGCGATCGCCTGACTGTAGCTCGGCTCTCCGGCGGCGGCTCGGGACGATGCGAGCACCCCCGGAAGCCTCTCGGCGAGGCGCAGCCGCTGGCAGGCACCCCGAGGCCGGACAAAAAGCCGCCGAGAGACTGCGAGCACGCCCGGGCACCTCAAAAGCTCACCCCTCGCGCTGTGCTGCTCCCATCGTGCTGCAGGACCACATCCCAGGCAAAGTTTCGAGCACCCAGAAAACGTATCGAAAACGAGGGCTCGCCAAAGGTGTCGAAAACGTACCGACACGTGTCGAAAGCGAGAGCTCCTCAGGAAGTGGCGGCCAGAGGTGCCGACCGTGGTCGAATGCTGGGCGGTGCGCGAAGTGGTCGCCACGCAGAGTGCACCGCGGCTGCTCTGCCGCAGGCACCTGGACAGCACACGAGTTCAGCAAGCTCAACGCTGCTGCGTTTCCTATCAAGGGGCCCAGGGACACACAGATAAATACACAAATAAAAGGATTCCCCCTATTTTCCCATTTTCTGGGGTTCTGTGTGTGTTTCTTCCCTCCTGATTAATTGCGTCCGTGAATTTCTTTCCCTCCTGATCCGAAAGGGGCGCCAGCGAAAGGGACTTCTGAGACCGCGGCCTTGCATTTGAGACCTTGAGAGGTGCGGGCAAAAACGCTGCGCAGCGACCTTGCGGGCGAAGCCGAGCGGACTTGAGAAATCCGCATCGCTGGTCTCAAAAGTCCCTTTCCCTGGGGTCCCTTTCGGAACGGCATGAAGCACACTTGCGTACAGTGGGGGCCCGGCCACAACAAGCCCTCCACAAGAAACCCAGCCCTGACCCCAGGGCGTCCACTCCTTTCTGGTGTGGGGGTGTCCCGCTGTCCACAGGAGAACCATCGAGGCCCAAGAAACCCAGGGCACCCTGGAGACAAGCAGGGTTTTTCTTGGCATGGGCCTCCACTGTAGCACATACGTTCAACAAACAAATCACATGTGCAAAACACTCGGCAGACGCGAAAACACAACGCAAAAACGGAGGTGGGCGTTTGGTTCCTGGCGCCTTTGGCAGGTCAAGTCTGTCACATGGGGATATCTACTATTGCCTAGAGGTGCATCCGGTTCGAATGCGGAAACACTAGAGTGTTGAACGAGACTACAACAAGGCCGCGCTACCATGCTTATAAAATCCTCACACCAGCTTAGGCATCTCCTCCCCAACGCATGCTCCGCATGTAAATCCAGAGGCGGTCGTCTAGCACGCCGAATGATGACTACTATGCCCAGGGAGTATCAGCTGCACTCACACACACACACATCGCACCATCCCCTCGTCCTCCTCCTCACCCTTCGCCCCCCCTTCCCCCCCGCTGCTCAGCCCTCTCCTCGTTCAACTCTGTCTGCTCCTCTGTCTCGTCGCTGATGCTGTCGTGACCCTCAACCTCGCCTCGTCGGCGACCTCACCGTCACGGTGGTCGTCGTCCCCGAAGAGCTGCGCGCTCGTCTCGAAGCCGACACGATGAGATCACCCGTGCTTCCGATGCGGCCCGTCTTGACAGGAAAGTCAGAGACCCCTGTGAACGCAGTGCTGGTGCCCCAGGACGTCCAGGATACGTACCCTGGGCCCCCTCCTCCTCCTCCTCCTCGTCGTCGTCGTCCTCCTCCTCCATTCCTTTCCCTTATAAGAAATTTCTCCCTGTCGCACCCCGAGGCGAGTTTTTAGGGCGGGCCTTGAGTTTCGCTTGAGACTTCCTTACCATTAATGACCCTCCAGCGTAAAAAGTGTCAACCGTTTCACGGGTTGAGGGCGGGTCGTTTTCAGAATGTGGTTTGCCCTAGTGCCGCGCACATGCGTTTTAAAACAATGGCAAGAGTTTCACGGATTGAAGGCGGGCCGTTTTCAAAATGTGGCTCTCGCCTTAGCGCCGCGCGCATTCATTTTCATCACTTGCAAGAGTTTCACGGACTGAGGGCGGTTCCTTCTCAAAATGTGGCTCTCGCCTTAGCGCCGCGCACATGCGTCTCAACATTAATAAGAGTTTCACGGATTGAGGGCGGTTACTTTTCAAAATGTGGCTCTCGCCTTAGCGCCGTGCGGATGCGTTCATACAACTTGAAATGGTTTCACGGATTCTCATGGTCAACGTGCCAGAAGCGGTGTTATGGAAGGATTCAGGATTTTGCGGATGCAGCGGTTATGTTGATTCGCGGTGTTGAAGTCCCAAACATGGCGTTTTGGCACGAATCCAGATCGTCAAGACGCAGCAGTCAGGTTGATCCGTGGCGTTGAAATCCCGAGAACAATGTTTTGGCATGCTTCAGGGTCTTCAAGGTTGTCTTCCAACGAAGCAGTTCCCTCAATGGAGATGAACAGTTGTAGGGGCTTATGAGGAGGGAGCTTGGAGGGAGGGTAAATTCCAACATCGTTGATGACTCTTTGGTTTACACTGGTTCTCCTCCTCCTCCTCTTACGACTATCCGTCCCGCCTCATCCTCGCTCCCCCCTCCGCCCATCGCGGCTCCCGGGCACGACAGTAAAAACTGTCAGGACGGCAGGGGTCGACGATGACTGTCCCTCCCCCTCTTCCTCTTCTCCTCCTCCTCTTTTTCTTCTTCTTCTTCTTCTTCGTCTTCGTCTTCCTCCTCTTTCTCTTCCTCTTCCTGCTCCTCCTCCTCCTCCTCCTCCTCCTTCTCTGCCTCATCGACGATTCATCAGTGAGTACGAGATGGAGGGCAGCGGGCTTTGGCTCGGGGTCCCCAGGCAGCCCCATGACAGCCCAAGAAGGCCCAGCACGAGAGCAACACGAGAAGCAGTGGAGACACGAAGTGTCACGTGCTGCGTCCCTCTGGGCGGTGCCCGGCGCTTCGGCACACGGAGTGCTGCGCTGGCACGGTGGTGGAGCATGCCGCAGGCCCACCCTGGAGGAGGAGGAGGAGATGGAGGAGGAGGAGGGGGAGGAGGAGGGAGGAGGGAGGAGGAGGAGGAGGAGGACCAGTGTAAACCCAAGAGTCATCAACGATGTTGGAATTATCCCTTCCTCCAACCTCCCTCTTCGTAGGCCCCTACAACGGTTCATTTCCATTGAGGGAACTGCCTCGTTGAAGACAACCGTTTGAAGATCCTGAAACATGCCAAAACATTGCGCTCGGGATTTCAACGCCACGTATCAACCTGACTGCTGCGTTCTGGCGATCCGGAATCGTGCCATAACGCCGTTTTTTGATTTCAGCATCGCGAATCAACATAACTGTTGCACCCGCATAATCCTGAATCCTTCCATAGCACCATTTTCGGTACGGTGGTCATTGGAATCAGTGAAGCTCTTGCAAATGTTTACAACGAATGTGCGTGGCGCTAAAGCGAGAACCACTTTGTGAAAAGGAACCAGCCGCCCTCAATTCGTGAAACTCTGGCAACTTGCTGCAAAGAATGTGCACGGCGCTAAGGCGAGAGCCACAATGCGTGAAGCTCTTGTAATTTTTGCGGCGCTAAGGCGAGAGCCACATTTTGAAAAAGAACCGCCCTCAATCTTACAACGCATGCGCGCGGCGCTAAGGCGAGAACCACATTTTGAAACCGGCCCGCCTTCAATCCGTGAAACTCTGGCAAATTTTGTAAACGAATGTGCGCGGCGCCAAGGCGAGAGCCACATTTAGAAAACGACACGCCCTCTATCTGCGAAACCGTTGTCACTTTCTAAGCTTCAGAGTCATACATGGTGAGCAAGTCTCAGGCGAAACGCCCGGCCCGCCCTAAAAACTGGCCTCGGGGTGCGACAGGGAGGAGTTATCTATAAGGGGAAGGAATGAAGGGAAGGAGGGTCCTATGGCACCCTGCCCTTCGAGCGACGTCCGTGCCCCACCCCCCACCAGCACCTGGCGGCCGCCCCGGTGGCAAAGCCTCAGCCGCAGGGCCCCGACCTGGCCGGTGGCGCCACGAAGGGCGTCTCGGCGGCACGCGCGAGAGACCCTGGGCAAACGTGGCCTGGAGTGCGCGGCTTGCCGACCGCTGCATGCGTAGCGACAGCAGCTGCCTGTGTGCACGGGCTTGGGCCCCCTGAGCTGCCCGAAAGCCGCGCACCAGAGGCAACTCCGGCGAAGGGTCGCTCTCGATTGCGTGAGGCATGGGGGAAGCGGGTCCTGAGGGAAACGTGCCCTGGACCCTGGGACCTTCCCCCAAGACCAGATCCCCATCCCGCGCCGTCTTCTCACACGCCCGGGGCCCGTGAGAGGGCCCCGGGGGCAGACGGCGACAAGTCTCAGGACCCGTTTCCCCAAGACCCCCGACGTAATGCTTTTTTCATGACGTCGACCCCCAAATGTCTCGACCCATTCCCAAGGACCGGTTTTTCATCCTCGGCCGTTTCTTCACGGCCACGAGGCCTGGCAAGGGCCCCCGGAGGCCGACCACAGCGAAGAACCTCCCGCCGTAGTCTTTTCTCACGACTCGAGGAAGTCTGGGCTCTCAGGAGGAGGAGGAGGAGGAGGAGGAGGAGGAGGAGGAGGAGGAGGAGGAGGAGGAGGAGGAGGAGGAGGAGGAGGAGGAGGAGAGGAGGAGGAGGAGGAGGAGGAGAGGAGGCGGAGGGCGGAGGCGGAGGCGGAGGAGGAGGAGGAGGCGGAGGAGGAGGAGGAGGAGGCGGAGGCGGAGGAGGAGGAGGAGGCGGAGGACCCGCTTCCCCCTATGGCAGTACCTGCAGCCGAAGCGAGGCCACCGGCCCAGCCCGAGGCCCGCCGCCCGCCGGGCGGCGCTGCGGCGCCCGCGGCGGCGGTCGCCCGGGCCGAGCCTCTCAGCCGAAGGGCCCCCGGGCGGGCCCGCGGCGCCCCGAAGGGCCCTGCCACCGGCGCGGGCGCCCGCCCCGCGGGGCTGCGGCGGGCGGCGCTGGGGCGGCGACCGCCGGGGCAGAGCCTCAGCCGAAGGGCCCCGAGCGGGCCTGCGGCGCCCCGAAGGGCCCTGCCACCGGCGTGGGAGCCGCTGCCTGCCTGGCGGGCTTTCGTCGGCTTTTGTCTGCTCCTCCTCCCTCCTCCCTCCTCCTCTCCTCCTCCTCCTCCTCCTCTTCCTCCTCCTCCTTCTCCTCCTCCTCCTCCTTCTCCTCCTCCTCCACCACCTCTTCCTCTTCTTCTTCCTCCTGGAGGGATCTGTTCGACTCCGTTCAGGCGATCGTAAACATGGATCAAAGGGGCGTGGATAGCGACGGGTCCCGTTTCCATGGGAAGTCGCGGATTCCCGCCGCCAAGCGAGGCGGCACCGGCCGCATTTTAGGGAGGGCACCTCCCCCGATCCATATTTGCGCGCCCCCGATAGCAAGCAAGTGGGCAAATAACGCATTGAAAGAAGATGAGGGGACCGTGAACTCCGGTGAGATATCATGGCCCTGACCATGAGTCCCCCCCTAGTCACAGTCCCCCTCTTCGAGGCCCCCGTATGGTTCGTCAAGCGGGAGCTCTTCCAGTGGCAAAGCTTGAACAAGATGAACTGGCATCCAAGAGGATGATAGATAGAACGCAACCTCGTGCAATGCAATACACACTTCATGACATAATTCCACGACTTCTGCATATTGTGCAAAGCGCTACGCCCAGAGCCTCTCTCTTCCCTCGACCACGAGCACGACGAGGTGGTGCTGTATCACCCCAAGGACATCATCGACACGAAAGTCAAGAGCTGGCACTCGCTATGGTCGCACCTTTCAGATGATTCGCGAAGCTGCGGAGGACGACCCTCTTCCAACCTTCCTCCCCATTGTCTTCGTCCTGGTCCTCGTCCTCGTCGTCGCTGTCCGCCTGGCCCCAAGCCCCATACATAGCAGAAGACCGAATCCCTGGCACAAGCCGAATCGATGATTTCTCTGATTTTGCAACAGATGAAACCCAACGCTGGACTTGGCTTCGACATGCTCAGCCTGGCCGATTTTGAGCGCCTACCAGAAGAGGCGCTAGCAGGACTTGCAATGCTGTTCGAAGCATGTGAACTTTATCTGGTATAGCCTGGTCTGATTCTTCACATTGTGGGAAGAATGTTACCGAAGAAAGAGCTCAGGGGGCCGCATCGTTGGATTTGTGTCGATGGTTGGGCGCCTCTGGAGTTTGATTCGTGAACCAGCGGTGCGGACATGGACCAGCGAGACGGACGCTTTGTGGGACGCAGCTGCACGTGGGAATTCAAGCTTGAGAGGCCTTCCTCAGAGCTATCCAGCAGGACGTGGCCCATCACTTCGGCACCGCCAACGGAGCAGCCGAGAGGGCCTCGTCGACAGCCAGGCCTCGCATCATGTTCTCTCAACCTGGAATTTCTGCTGATGATCTTATAGGTGGGGCGACTTTAGTGCGTAGCTCCACGCACAGTGGGGCAGTTGGGTTCTGCGTCCCAGCCTTTCCAGCCCACGTGCAGTGTGGTGCACTGGTTAAGATCGGGCACTCGTTTCGGCAAAGCGATCGCCCACTACGTGCTGAAAACCATCACAGTGGCTCACTCGCAGCTGAGCCACGGGATATGGATAGATGACCTTTCCCAAGGAATGCGAGGATCACGGATGGCAGTGTGGAATCACTTGGGCATCATTGATACCTGCTGATATTTGTTCGAACGCAATCTGAACGTCTCTCCGAATTCGGCCCTTGTTTGTTCTAACAATTTGGACGCCAACCAGATACCGACGAGGGTTAGACTGGCAGATTTTAAGATCTGCCGAAGTTGCAGGTCAGCTAACCTGGAGCTGATATTTCTTGTGGGTCCCGACAGGCAAGAGTTGTTCGAACGGGCCAACCACAAGATGATGAACAACAAGGTGCGACGGTACGCGTGCTTTTCCCCAAAGCACCTGATCGCGGGGCGCCTGGAGAAGCAGGGAGCCCAAACTGCAGGAGCGCCCGGCCACTAACTCTACGACGCTTTCGGCAGCAAGCTCATGATGATCCGCAGGCAGCTGGGCTTCTCCCTAGCGCCCCGCACTCGAAGCATATCCCTCACGACTCCTTTGGCCTTGCGAGCGGGAGACTTCGATCCCACTATCAATATGCCTGTTTCCCGTTTGGACCAAATGGCTGCAACCGAAACGAGACCACCCTGATCTGCGGACATGTGTGCGGCAAGCCTGGCCTCATGGCGTCGAACAGTTAGTTGCAAACGGTTCCTAAATGATAACGGTCCCGTCACGTACGTGGCCCCTTCGCTGTGGTCTTTCACCTAATGGAGGCTGGCTGGGGTCCCGACGAAACCATGGCCTAGACCATCCCTGCGCCCAACCAGCTGCGGGCGATGAGCGGAAGTTCGACAGCACGATGTACAATGGAGTTCGAGCTTTGGACACGCACCAAGGTCTCCTCGTGGACTTCAAAGATGCGGTCCGCCACGGGCTGCGGCACCAGGCCAGTCGTCACTTCCTGTGGAGGAGGCCTACAGCAGGGGCTGGACTCTCCTACCAACTCCTCCAACAATTGGCAACAGTCCCGACCTTCGGGCACCGATTATCCGAGACCATGCTGTCGTGCGCGGTGGGCGGGAGTTGGCAGATGGCGAGGCGCAAGACAGAGATTTCACACTTCAGCGGATCGGAGCTCTGCCCGCGCTGTGGTCCGCCGACTCCCCCTTGCCGGGGTTGAAAAGGCGTGTGAGATAGTTGGCTGTTTCGTGATTCATCCTCCCACCTCCGCTGCTCCTCCTCCTCTTCCTCCTCCTCCTCCTCCTCCTCTTCCTCCTCCTCCTCCACCTCCTCCTCCACCACCTCCTCGTCCTCCTCCTCCTCCTCCTCTTCCTCCTCCTCTTCCCCTCCTCCCCCTCCTTCCTCCTCCTCCTCCTCCTCCTCCTCCTCCTCCTCCTCCTCCGCCTCCTCCTCCTCCTCCTCCTCCTCCCCTCCCCCTTCCCCCCTACCCTGGGTTCAATAATCGCACTAGAAGGGGAGCGGGCGGGGGGGGGGGGGGCACGAGCTCCCCTGCGCTTCGCCCGGCGCCAGAACGCCAGAGGACGGGCCCACACGAGTTCCAAGGGGCACTCCAAGAGAACGTCGACACGGACCAGGGGTGGCCCCTTCAACGGTCCAGTATAGCTTCCAGACGGTTCCCGAAGCTCCCAGAGGACCGCGGAGAAGGCACCCAAAGGAGGCAACCATCGTCACATGCCAATCGAATAACATTCATTTTTAGCTAACTTGTCACTTTCCTCTTCCCAGCGTTCACAACGGCTCAAGGGCCCCATCGAATCGCCCCAAGACGGCCCCGAAGACCCCCTAGACCGCCCCAAGATAGCCCAGGCGGACTCCAAGGCTCCCCAAGGCGACCTCACGAGGCCCCAGGAAGCCTCCGACAGGCCTCCCAGAGACCCGAGACGCCCAAGAGGCCTCCAAGAGGCATCCAAGGCCTCCAAGAAGCCCCCCCCAACCAACCACCAACATGTCCCAAAAAACAATCGAATCCCTAAAGCATAACGGAAGCCTCGCAGACGCCTTCATACAGCCCCGTGACAAACCTCGAAATCCCCCCCTTGCACCACACAAATCCGTCCTTCCTCCCTCCGCCCGCCTCCTTCCAACCTCCGCTCCTCCGCCTCCACCTCCTCCTTCTCCTTTTCCTCCTCCATCGCGGGCGCAAAACAAACGCAGCCACTCCAACTCCAACACAGTCGACTCCAGCGAGCTGATCACACAGGCGCTAACTCAAATGGATATGGCTCGGGGCTTCTTGCTACGCTGCCTGCTATCGAACGCCTGGACAACGGTCCCAACACGGGTGGCCGCACAGTGCTGGACAGCGACTTCGGTCAACGAGGCCACCGAGGGGACCCTGGGCCAGGGCACCAATGCGCAACCTCTTCTTTCGTTCGGGGACGCCAGTTGCGGACCCGACTGCAACAACAGTCCTTTCAACAGAATTGGCGTCACAATGCGTAGCTCTGCTCGCATCTCTCGGGCCCCAGGTTTGTCGGGCCGCCACCGTGCGAGGACCGCTCGCAGGACCTCGGCAGGCGGCGGCCCGCGGCGAACTGAGGGCTCTCCTCCTCGCCGTATGGCTCACCATGGGCCACATCGTGTACGTTTCTGGCTGTGAGCCTGTTTTGCAGGGGTGGTCTGCGAGAAAGCGCGGCAGCCCCTGAGGGAACGATGCCGACCTTTGGACTTCCCTGGGCCTCCTCCTCCCGAGACGGGGCCCTGCAACCGAAGTGCATCTTTTTTTGGTGACCTCGCACCTGTCTGCACAGGACGTGGTGCGAGGAACTACGCCGAGATGGATGCTCACGGGGAATGCCGTGGTGGACGAAATTGCTGGTCTTGCAGCCAGCGTTGCCGGACTCCGAGAGGCTTGTCGCCCAACTGTTCTCTTGCACGTGCGCCGTGCCAAGCTTGCTCGACTGCGCATCCTTCGCGCCACACTCGACGCATGCGCAACTGAACGGATAATGAGGACGCGTTGCCTGCTGGAAAGAGAATGCGGTCATCTAGCCTCCCCACCCCCCGTCTGCTGCTTCTTGCTTCCGCTTCTCTACATGGTACTATCTAGACGAATCTGGGCGGAAGTGCACCCGATTTGGAAATGCGCCACCAAAGCCGAGCTCACGGCTTGGAGGAAATCCCATGTTTCAAGATGTTGACTATTGACGGGGTGACCTCCCGCAAGCCCCAGGAGGCCAACCACCACATTGCGGGCGGGTTTGTTGACCCGTCTCATGTTATGCAGCTTCACGATGGTCTTAAGCTACGCACGGTGTTGTAAAGAGTGTGGGTGCTGTGGGCACCAACTGCTCGATGGCCTCAATCGACTCTGTCAGCGCCCCACTCAGAATCACTTTGTCTCGGATTTCCACGGGACTCTGGCCAACGGTCTTGAGCAGGACGGAGAGAGCGACCAGCCGCCTGGGAGCGCCTGCAGGGTCATGAGCACTGCATTGTTTGTTGGCCAATCATTCCTGTCCCACAGCGCTGCTTCCTGTAGGACGTTGCCATGTAGCCAGTGCCAATTCCAGCTCCCTATCTTCCGCCTCCTCCTCTTCCTCCGCCTCTTCCTCCTCCTGCTCCTCGTCGTCGTCCTGCCCCTCTTCCTCGTCGTCCTCCCCCCTGGCCAACCTGGCGACGGCAGCCTCGAGGACGAGGGCAACGACGAGGCCGACGACGAGGCTGACGAGCAGAACGACGTCGGCAAAGACGACGACCAGGACGACGAGCAGGACGACGACGACGACGACGAGCAGGACGACGAACGATGCGGCGTCCCCTCCCCTCGCCCCCCTCGGGGGGCGCTGCCCGGGCGGCGGTCTCCGGGCCCCAAGGGTCCCCGCGAAGGGGACCCCGCCGACGGCCAAGCCGCCTCCGAAGGGGGGGCAAGATGGTCGTCGCCGTCATCGTCATCGATGTCTCCGTCGCCGTCGCCGTCGCCGTCGCCGCCGCCGCCGCGGCCGCCGCCGCCGCCGCGGCCGCCGCCGCCGCAGCCGCCGTCGTCGTCGTCGTCGTCGTTCGTCGTCGTCGTAGCCGTCGCCGCCGCCGCCGCCGCCGCCGCCGCCGCCGCCGCCGCCGCCGTCGTCGTCGTCGTCGTCGTCGTCGTCGTCGTCGTCGTCGTCGTCGTCGTCGTCGTCGTCGTCGTCGTCGTCGTCGTCGTCGTCGTCAGCGTCGTCGTCGTCGTCGTCGTCGTCGCCGTCGTCGTCGTCGTCATCTTGGGCGATTGCCGCTGACGGCATCCGAGTCCCTAAGGACGCTGCCGCGCTCCCCCTCCTCCTCCTCCTCCTCCTCCTCCTCCTCCGCCTCCTTCCCTGCTCCTCTTCCTCTCGGTCGTCCTTCCCCCCCCGCCCAGGATTTCCTGTCCTGCCCCTTCTCGCCTCCTTGCTCGTTCCTGCCCCTCGCCCTGTCGTCATCGTCGCCTCCTCCTGCTGGGAGGCTCGACTGATCTTGCGTAGTTTTTGAAGAGCTCTGGGAGAGGTTCAGGGCCCGCACGAGAGGTGGCCCGAAAACCCGAGTCTCTTCTGAGCCCGAGGTGGTCCTTACTTCTGCATTTCAGCGTCCTGACTGTTTGCGGAAAGAGGGAGGTCACGGGGGAGGAGGGAGACCGAGGGAGGCGCAAGGAGACTAGGCGGAGCTGGAGCACGAGGAGGAGGCGGAAGGCATGAGACCCATCGGTGGTCCGACATCACGAACGTAGGTGCTCAACCATGGACAAGGACGTCCACAACTTTGGGACGCGGATGTCCTCGCTGTCGCCACGGCCGGACGCTCAATCACACTTTGTACCGTGCGTGCAAACATACGGCGTCGCGATCGCCGCGCCGCATGCCGTCTCATCGCCCTACCTGACAGACCAGGGCGCCATACTATGCTTATGTCACACATGCTATCTCCCCTCCTTCTGGGCCGCCCCTCTCCCCACGACGATCATGATCGAAGATGCTGTGAAAAAGAAGGGGGCGGCTAGCAGGGGTCCTTCGCCCCCACCAATCTCACCCAACCCTTCGCCCCTTCCTTGAGGGGCCAAACTTTGGTGGAGATATGGTGGTCCTTAGGCCACGCTAACTTGCCTGCGGCCAGGAGCCTCCTCTGGGCCTGAAAGACTTTGTCGCAAAGCCCGAGGAGGCGGCGCGGGGTCTCCGAGCAGCTCGCCGCCGTTGTCCTTCTTCGTCTTCTCCTCCTCCGCCACGCCCTTCGCCTCCTCCACCTGCTCCTCCAGCTTTGTCTCCTCCTCCCCTGCCTCCTCTCATGCTGCTGCTGCTGCTGCTGCTGCTGCTGCTGCTCCCCCCTTCGTCTCCGCGTCCGCCCCGCCCCGTCCGCGTCCGCTCCCCTTCCTCCTCCGTCCCTCCGTCTTTTCTGCCTCCTGGCACCCCCCTCCTCCTCCTCCTCCTCCTCCTCCTCCTCCTCCTCCTCTTCCTCCTCCTCCGTCTCTCACTCCTCCCTCCTTCTACCCTCCCCCCTTCCTCTTTCTCTTGCTGCCCTCCTCGCCGTCGTCGCCGCCGCTCGGCTGCGGGCGGCCTATCTGCGGCGCGCCGCCCATCGGCGGCGGGCCGCCCATGGGCGGTGGAACGCCCATCGGCGGTGCGGCGCCCATCGCCGGAGGAGCCCCTGGTTGCCGCCGCCGCCGTCACCGCCTCCGCCGACGCAATCGCCAGCGCCATCGCCGTCGCCATCGCCATCGCCGCCGCCGCCGCTTCCGTCGTCGCCGTCGTCGTCGGCCTCCTCTGCTGCTGCTCCTCCTCCAGCAGACGTGCCATTAGCCAGGCTGGTCATTTCGCTCGAGACGTCCTGGCACTTCGCGGCTCAGGAGCTAAACCGTCGTCGCTTACAACAAGATTTCGTTTCGCTTTGTTTTGCTGGTGTGGTAATGTGGAGACAACCTGTGCGATATGTCAGGGCAGGACGCGCATATCTGTTTTAGGCCCGAATGCGCTCCTGTGAACCTATCTTGGAACTTGTCAGCATCTTCCCATGGACGGTCCAAGCACGCTACGCACGCTGGATTCTCTTACAGACCTCGGCAGTCCAACTACGATCAAAAACTATTCACTGCGTGGAGCTCCCCATATTTTCATCTATTCGCATGGACCTGTCCGCCGTGAGTGTCTAGGCGCAAGAGTTTTCGAATATAAGCGGGCTTGAATTGTGACGGTCTGGTCATGAATCTAACTGCGAATGAATTTGATTGTGAATGAGTCTCAGTGGTACGAGCGCGTCTCTGCGCACGAGCCTGGGGCCTCCGGGGGCCTCCTGAAACCTCCTGGGGCCTCCAGGAGCCTCTCGGGGGTTCGAATGGCCTCCTGAGGCCTCCTGGAGCCTCGCGTGGCCTCCTGGGGCCTCCTGGAGCTTCCTGGGACCTCCTAGGGAGGATTCGTGCCCCAGGAGAAGCCCAATATATAGGAATATATAGGAACAGACGTGCATAAAACATTGAGGATTGGAGCCACGTGAAAAGGGCAATCTATATGATGATGATGATGATGATGGTGATGATGATGATGATGATGCTGATGCTGATGATGATGATGATGATGATGATGCTGATGATGGTGATGATGATGATGATGGTGATGGTGATGGTGATGGTGATGGTGATGGTGATGATGATGATGCTGCTGATGATGATGATGATGATGACGATGACGATGACGATGAGCAGATGATGAGGATGTCTCGAGCGGCTTCCTGGTTTTAGCACTCCTAGGGGGGCGGCCAGGGGTATTGCACGGCATCCGTTCGCGCCAAAATGGCGGGGATGTCTCGAGCGGTTTGCCTGTGCGTATGCCTAACATCCTCCGTTTTCGGAGCAGATTTTGAGGATGTCTCGTGCGAGGCGCCTCCTAAGGGGTGGCCGCCAGGGGTATTTTGCACGGCCTCCGTTCGCGCCCAAATGGCGGGGATGTCTCGAGCGGTTTGCCTGTGTGCATGCCCAACATCCTCCGTTTTCGGAGCAGATTTGGAGGATGTCTCGAACGAGGCGCTCATTTTCGCCCCCCAGGGGGGCCAGATTTTGAGAATGTCTCGATCGGTTTGCCTGTGTTGGTGGCCAGACTCGTGGGCACAGATTCTCCCCAGGATGCCACAGGAGTCCCCAGCAGGCCACGTGAGGTCCCAGGAGGCATCAGGAGGCCACAGGAAAGCTCAAGACGCCACATGATGTCCCAACAGGTTCCAGAAGGCCCCAGGAAGCTCCAGGAGGCCTCAGAAAGCCCCAGGAGGCCCCAGGGGGCCACAGGAAGCGCCACAAGGCCCCGGAAGGCAACAGGAGGCCCCGAGAGGCCCCAGGAGCAGGAGGCCTCAGAAGGCAACAGGAGTGGCTCCAATCTCATGTGTTTTACGTATGCTCCTATAGATTGGGCCTCACTTGGAGCACGAAGCCTTGATGTTGTACGTATATTTCTATAGATTGTCCTTCTCCTGTGTATACAATCCTAAATGTTTTACGTATGTTCCTATATATTGGACCTCCCTTGGGGCACGAGTCCTTGGTATTTAACATGTGTTCTTCTTCTTCTTCATCATCATCATCATCATCATTATGATTATTATTATTATCATCAACATCATCATCATACTCATCCATCATTCACCATCACCATCATACTCACACCATACTCTCACCACAATCATCATCATTGTCTGGTGCGGAGAGGGAGGAGGGAAGGGAGAGGCCCGGCGCGGCCAGATAATAACAATAACCCCATTCTTTGGATATGGGAAACTATATATGTGCCCAAGTCTACATAAGGATCAATGTGCCTCTCACGAGAAGCGTACTGATATGGGCGGTACGTGTGCGTGTGTGGCACCACTCCACCGCAGCAGCAGGAACCTCCGGGCCATCTTTGCTTAAACGCCTGAGCCAAGCCTCGGTCGTATCACTGGCCATGGAAACAGAAGGGGCCAGACGCCACGCGCTAACCTACACCACCTAAGCCTATATCCTCATCGCCCTGTCGAGCCAACCTGACCCCATACTCGTCTTTTGCACAGGAGTCCTGGAAAGCCCAGAAGAGAGTCCAGAAACAGACAACTGAAATCGGGCGCCGCTCCCCACCTCTAGATGAAACTCTTCTCGCTGCGGGCTGGATCCGTGAGGGCAGGTCCTGGCAAACGAATTCGAGCGGCGGGCTGACGCGTCTCACTGGTTCAAAAACCGATTGCCACACGCGAGCCAGGGTGCTGATCGAGCCTGCGAGCGAGGAGTGGGCGGCGAATATCATCATACAATTTATAACTGTCGCCTCCGACAACGACCAGTCGGGGCTGCCCGTAGTCACAGAACGTTTCAACACTTTTCTACTGATCCTGCCGTTGGCCTGATGCCCTTCTACGAATGACGAATTGCACTTCAGAACAATCAGACTTCAAGATGGGCCGTTGGAGCTCCGGGACCATCATGTGCAGGACTGTCAGCAACACCGAAACCAAAACGATGGGTCGAATCCCGGCCACCTTGGACACTCCAAATTTTTTTCGACTGAATTGGGCCACGTGGTCTTCCAAAGGCTTGCCACATCCATTGACACGGGCTCTCAACCTCAGCTTAAGCGCTTCCAAAGCGCCGCTGGTCGGAACGTCGTCCTCTAGGCACTGCAAGATTTCAACGACAATCGTATCGTCCTCCGAACACGACTTGCTACACTTCAATCGCTGAACCCAGGTCTTCAGGAAGGGAGACTGGGAAGGACATCCGACTGCGGTTCATCACTTGCCCTCTCTGGACGAAGGACCAACCGTTTCCAGAATGAGACTCCCTTCGGCACGCCGAGCACATTCGTGTAACACGTTTCCGACGGCTGCAAAGATGAGACGCTGGTGGCTTTCAGCATGCGGCTTCCGCCTGAGCGCCAAACACATTCGCTGAACAAACTTCCAACACCGTCGTCGTCGTCGTCGTCGTTGCCGCCGCAGCCGTCGCTGTTGTCGTCGCAGCCGCCGCCGCCGCCGTCGTCGTTGTCGCCGCCGCCGTCGCCGCCGTCGCCGCCGACGCGGGTCGTCGTCGTTGTCGTCGTCACCGCCGCCGCCGCCACCGCTGTCGTCGTCGTCGTCGTCGTCGTCGTCGTCGTCGTCGTCGTCGTCGTCGTCGTCGTCGTCGCCGCCGCCACCGCCGCCGCCCCCGCCGGTGCCGCCGCCGCCGCCGCCATCCCCGACACCACCGTTGCCGCCGCCGTCGCCGCCGTCGTCGCCGTCGCATCCGCCGCCATCGTCGTCGTCGTTGCCGCCGCCGTCGCCGTGGACGTCGTAGTCGTCATCGCCGCCGCCACTGCCGCCGCCGTCGTCGTCGTCGTCGTCGTAGTCGTCGCCGTCGTCGTCGTCGTCTTCGTCGTCATGGTGGTCGCAATGGTCGTGGCCGTCGCCGTCGCAGTCCCCGCCGTCGCCATCGCCGTCGCCGTCGCCGTCGCCGTCGTCGTCGTCGTCGTCGTCGTCGTCGTCGTCGCCGTAGTCGTCGTCGTGGTCGCCGCCGCCGCCGCCGTCGGCGTCGTTGTCGTCGTCGTCGTCGTCGTCGTCGTCGTCGCCGTTGCCGCCGCCGCCGCCACCGCCGCCGCCGCCGCCGTCGTCGTCGTCGTCGTCGTCGTCGTCGTCGTCGTCGTCGTCGTCGTCGTCGTCGTCGTCGTCGTCGACGTCGTCATCGTCGTCGTCGCCGGCGTCGCCGCCGCCGCCGTAGTCGTCGTCGTCTTGCCGCCGTCGTCGTCGCCGTCGCCGCCGCCGACGCCGCCCCCGCCGCCATCCCCGACACCACCGCCGCCGCCGCCGCCTTCGCCATGGTCGTCGTCGTCGTCGTCGTCGTCGTAGTCGTCGCCGCCGCCGTCGCCGTACGTCGTCGTCGCCGTGTCGTCGTCGTCGTCGTCGTCGTCGTCGTCCGTCGTCGTCGTCGTCGTCGGTCGTCGCCGCCGCCGCCGCCGCCGCCTGCCGGCCGCCGCTCCACCGCAGCCGCCGCTCCGGCGGCCGCTTTCGCCGCCGACGCCGCCCGCCACCGCCGCGTCGTCGTCGCCGTCAGGTCGTCGTCGTCGTCGGCCGTCGCGTCGTCGTCGCGTCGTCGTCGTCGCCGTCTCCGTTTCCGTTGCCGTCCGCCGCGCCGTTTCGTCGTAGTCCTCGCCGCGCAAACCGCCGCCGCCTTCCGTGTTGTCGTCGTCGGCCGCCGCCGCCGCCGTCAGTCGCCACCGACGCCGCGTCGTAGGTCGTCGCAGTCGTCGTCGTCGCCGCCGCCGCCCGTGCCGTTCGTTGTCGTCGCCGTCGTCGTCGCCGTCGCCGTCGCCGCGTCGTCGTCGTCGTCGTCGTCGTCGTCGTCGTCGTCGTCGTCGTCATCGCCGTCGCCGTCCCAGTCGCCGTCGCGCCGTCCTCGTCGTCGCCGTCGCAGCCGCCGTCTCCGTCGCCTCCGCCGCCGTCACCGTCGTCGTCGTCGTCGCATCCGCTGCCGTCGTCGTCGTCGCCGCTGCCGACGCCGCCATCGTCGTCGCCGCCACCGCCGTCTTCGTAGTCGTCGTCGTCGTCGTCGTCGTCGTCGTCGTCGTCGTCGTCGCCGTCGTGCGTCTCGTAGTCGTCGTCGTCGCCGCCCAAGCCGCCGCCGCGCCGTAGTCGTACTCGTCGGTTGTGGTCTCGTCGTCGTCGTCCTCGTCGTCGTCGTCGTCGTGGTCGTCGTGGTCGTCGTGGTCGTTGTCGTGGTCGTCGTGGTAGTCGTGATCGTCGTCGTCGTCGTCGTCGTCGTCGTCGTCGCGTCGTCGTCGTCTCGTCGTCGTCGTCGCGTCGTCGTCGTCGTCGTCGCCGTCGTCGTCGCCGTCGCCGTCCCAGTCGCCGTCGCGCCGTCCTCGTCGTCGCCGTCGCAGCCGCCGTCTCCGTCGCCTCCGCCGCCGCCGCCGTCGCCGTCGTCGTCGTCGTCGCATCCGCTGTCGTCGTCGTCGTCGTCGCCGCTGCCGACGCCGCCATCGTCGTCGCCGCCGCCGCCGTCTTCGTAGTCGTCGTCGTCGTCGTCGTCGCCGCCGTCGTCGTCGTCGCCGCCAAAGCCGCCGCCGCCGCTCCGCCTCCGCCGCGCCGCCGCCGCCACCGCCGCCGTAGTCGTACTCGTCGTCGTCGTCGTCGTCCTCGTCGTCGTCGTCGTCGTGGTCGTCGTGGTCGTCGTGGTCGTTGTCGTGGTCGTCGTGGTAGTCGTGATCGTCGTCGTCGTCGTCGTCGTCGTCGTCGTCGCGTCGTCGTCGTCTCGTCGTCGTCGTCGCGTCGTCGTCGTCGTCGTCGCCGTCGTCGTCGCCGTCGCCGTCCCAGTCGCCGTCGCGCCGTCCTCGTCGTCGCCGTCGCAGCCGCCGTCTCCGTCGCCTCCGCCGCCGCCGCCGTCGCCGTCGTCGTCGTCGTCGCATCCGCTGTCGTCGTCGTCGTCGTCGCCGCTGCCGACGCCGCCATCGTCGTCGCCGCCGCCGCCGTCTTCGTAGTCGTCGTCGTCGTCGTCGTCGCCGCCGTCGTCGTCGTCGCCGCCAAAGCCGCCGCCGCCGCTCCGCCTCCGCCGCGCCGCCGCCGCCACCGCCGCCGTAGTCGTACTCGTCGTCGTCGTCGTCGTCGTCCTCGTCGTCGTGGTCGTCGTGGTCGTCGTGGTCGTCGTGGTCGTCGTGGTAGTCGTGATCGTCGTCGTCGTCGTCGTCGTCGTCGTCGCGTCGTCGTCGTCTCGTCGTCGTCGTCGCGTCGTCGTCGTCGTCGTCGCCGTCGTCGTCGCCGTCGCCGTCCCAGTCGCCGTCGCGCCGTCCTCGTCGTCGCCGTCGCAGCCGCCGTCTCCGTCGCCTCCGCCGCCAGCGCCGTCGTCGTCGTCGTCGTCGTCACATCCGCTGTCGTCGTCGTCGTCGTCGCCGCTGCCAACGCCGCCATCGTCGTCGCCGCCGCCGCCGTCTTCGTAGTCGTCGTCGTCGTCGTCGTCGTCGTCGTCGTCGCCGCCGTCGTTGTCGTCGTCGCCGCCAAAGCCGCCGCCGTAGTCGTACTCGTCGTCGTCGTCGTCGTCCTCGTCGTCGTCGTCGTGGTCGTCGTGGTCGTCGTGGTCGTCGTGGTCGTCGTGGTCGTCGTCGTGGTCGTCGTGGTCGTCGTGGTCGTCGTGGTCGCCGTGATCGCCGTCGCCGTCGCCGTCGCCGTCGCCGTCGCCGTCGCCGTCGTCGTCGCCGTCGCCGTCCCAGTCGCCGTCGCGCCGTCCTCGTCGTCGCCGTCGCAGCCGCCGTCTCCGTCGCCTCCGCCGCCGTCGCCGTCGTCGTCGTCGTCGTCGCATCCGCTGTCGTCGTCGTCGTCGCCGCTGCCGACGCCGCCATCGTCGTCGCCGCCGCCGCCGTCTTCGTAGTCGTCGTCGTCGTCGTCGTCGTCGTCGTCGTCGTCGTCGTCGCCGCCAAAGCCGCCGCCGCCGCTCCGCCTCCGCCGCGCCGCCGCCGCCACCGCCGCCGTAGTCGTACTCGTCGTCGTCGTCGTCGTCGTCGTCCTCGTCGTCGTCGTCGTCGTCGTCGTGGTCGTCGTGGTCGTCGTGGTCGTCGTGGTCGTCGTCGTCGTCGTGGTCGTCGTGGTCGTCGTGATCGCCGTCGCCGTCGCCGTCGCCGTCGCCGTCGCCGTCGCGTCGTCGCCGTCGCCGTCGTCATCAGCGCGCTGCCCATCGGCGGTGGGCCGCCCATCGGCGGGCCGCCTGGCCGGCGGGATCGGGAAGTCGCGTGGCGTAGTGAGGGGAGGAATGGGGAGGTGGAGGATTTTTTTGACCTCTACAGGTCCACCGCAAAGTGCAACCAGCTGGCAGGGCGGGACCTACAAGCTGTGGGAAAGGGGCAATCAACCGTGCCAAAGTTAAGCACCGTCGCCTGAACCCACTACCCGTCAGCGCCGAAGAGACAGCTCGGGGGGGGAGGTGGAGGAGGAGGGATGGGGAGGAGGGCAGTGAGGATGGGGAGGAAGAAGGGAGGCTGAGGTGGAGGAGGATGAGCAGGAGGAGAAGGAGGAGGGGGAGGAAGAGGTGGAGAGAGGAGGAGGAGGAGGAGGAGGAGGAGGAGAGATGGATGGAAGAGTGGGAGGCGAATGGAGAGAGGACAAGGCGAAGGATGATGAGCATGAGGATGAGGTGGAGGAGGAGGAGGATGAGGAGGAAGAGGAGGAAGAGGAGCAATCCTAGAACGAGGAGAGGGGGGTGCTGTATCCAACTCCCATATCTCATCCCTCCTCCTGCATCCTTTTCCTCCTGAGCGTCGACGCCAATGAACGACATTTGCGTCCGCAATGCGGGCGACGCCTTGCTGTAACAGGCAAATCTGCTCTTACCGCGTGCGCGAAAAAACATCAACGTAAAATGCAAGTCGTATCTTGCCAGCATATCTCTTCGTGCTTGCTTGCGTGCATTTGCACATCGCGCCGACGAGCCCTAGGCACGCCCTGCTTGAGCTTACCTGCACCTCCCTCCAAGAAGAGTCGACTAATTGAGTCGCTCGAGACGCCTGCCCCAAACTCAGTTTCGGTGCCAAGAGGGCTCGGAAGGCCCCCGCAATCACAAGGGACCTAAGAGATCGAAAACCTCTCTTGGACGGGCGGGCCGCGCGCAGAGTCCGCCCCCCCGGCGAGACGAGAGGCCAGCCAGAGGCTTGCCATCGCTCGGACGTCCATGATCCAAGATGCTCCTCGACGGTCCTCGCGGAGAAAAAGCGCACACGTCCGAGCGATGCCAAGGAGGGGAGACAAGGACGGGGGAGGAGAAAGTGCGAGGAAGAGACAGAAAGACGACTCAACCCTTTGGCCCTCCTTCCTCCCGCGCCCTCCCGCCTCCCGCCCCCTGCTTCTCCCCTCCCCCTCTCCCCCTCTCCCCCCGCCCTGGCTCGGATCGCCGACGGAATCCGTCCTGGCACTCTGTCCGTCCCCCGAGGGGGGGCTCGAGACGGTCCCCGGGTCCGAAGCCGTGCCGCCGGAGGCCGAGAATCGGGAAAGCCGCGTGGTCACGATGCCGTGCGGCACGGTGGAGAAGGAACGAAAAGGGCTGCTGTGGCTACGGGGGCGGCTCGGCAACGCACAAGTCTCGAGCTCAAGGCGATCCGTGTGTCAACATCTGGACCGTATTCGAACCTCCTCCTCCTCCTCCTCATCCTTGGTCTCTCCCTTTTCGTTGGACAAGCGTTGGCCGGCAGAAGCCGCCGCGTCAATGTACCAAGACATCTCCGACTTAGGAGCTGTGGCCTACAAGTTAGACCTGGGTGAGCGCAGCAGATGGAAGGACAGGCGATACGAGAGAAACGGGGGAAACAGTGCAAAGCCCGCGAAGGCTGGATTCTGCGCTCACCTGGTCGGGGAGGGCTCCTTTTTTCCCTCCACCTCCTCTAGACAAACAAAAAACGGCATAAACATAATTTCTTGGCGCTCCGCGCGGATTTCCTGGATCTGAGCTGGACCCCCCTCCTTGGCGCACGGAGCGCGCCAGGGGCGCCGCCGGAGGCGCCACCAAGGCGCTCCAGCGTAGATCCAAAAGATCCGCGCGGAGCGCCAAAAGTTGATGTTTATGCCGTTTTTCCCTCCATCTCCTCCTCCCACCGCCGCGGGGGGGAGGCGCCCATCGGCGGCGGTGCCATGTCCGTGGGCACCTTGGCTATCCTGCGCCAAGCGCGCGGTCCCGCCGGGGGGCGGGGGGGGGGGAAGGGACGAGACCCGCCTCGCCGCCGTCGGGGCTGCCGCGAGGGTCGCCGCCGTTCTGGTTGTGCAGCTGTCTGTCTCTGTTCTGTGCAGATGCGTTGCAGCGAGCTGCAGTCGGCCCGTATCACAAGGACGCGCGATAAGGATGCGAGGGCCCTTGGGCGCTCATCTCGAAGCTTTTCGAGCGGGAAGGGCAGTGATGCAAGGGTACCCTTGTGCCTTACTATGCGGGTTGACTGTACGGGTGATTGGAGGTTGATTCCTACAGTGACCCACCACCGGTGCAAGATATTCAAAGCCTTGGCCTGGTGGACTCTAAGATGCAAGCGTGCAAACTGCTCGTGTCCCCCTTACGCAACTTGGGCCAACTCGGCTCCAACTGCAACCGCCAAGGATGATTCTGATGATGGTGGTGATGATCCCGTGCTCCTCCTCCTCCTCCTCCTCCTCCTCCTCCCGCTCCCCCCTTGTCGTCGTCGAAGCCCGAGCCGTAGCCGCAGCCGTGTTGCCCCCTTCCGCGCACGAGCTATCTTTTTCAGCACGGGCCCAGCGTGTCGCTCGCTGTATAGCGACCGCGTCGTGCTGGCGTGGAAAAACTACGGTCCGCCTCCGCCTCCGCCGTGGCAGACTGTTGCGCTGCCACTTCCAGTTCTGGGTCGTCCACGCCACCCGCCGCCGCCGTCCCCGCCCAGACGTCACGCCGTGGTTCTTCCTCCTGCTGCTGTACCAATGCCGCATGCACAATGTGCCCAGTGTCCTGGCAAGCTCGTGGTTCCCCCACTTCCGCTCGAGAAAGTACAGGTACTGCTCTTGTCGTCGGTAAGAACCAGTGGGGCAGTGGACATTCAAGGAACAGGTCCAGTAACTGTGCAACACTCGTCTCTACTAGTGCCGTCCCCGCCAGGAGGCTTTGGTTTGGTCAACTCTGTGGGATGCACAATCAAGGCCATCAGTGCTCCACTTCCGAATGTTGCGGACGTTTGCGTCGTGCATCACTGTCGCAACCGATGGCAGCGCCTGTCCTCCTCTCGGACAGCCAATGGCGCCCTCGAAAACCAGCGTGTTGTGGAAAGCCCCGACCCCTCGCCTGTCCCCAAGGGTAGCCCCCAGTCGCCTCCACCGAGGCGCCCTGTTTCTCCTACTGGGACTGCTGCCAAGCGCCGTGCTCTCGCAGCTTGTGCTGACAGTTGCCGTCATGCAGGCTAGCGCTCCCTCTGAGCAGGCTAGCAGCTCCGCTAACGAGCGGCTTCGTTGGGTCCTTCGGTCCCAGCCATCCCCTGCGCCTGCCCCGGTGGGTCGCCCCCGATCGCGCTCTGGTTCCCGACGTTTGCAGAGCGAGGCCGATAGGCGCCGCCGCTCCAAAGCAACAAGATCAGGAGTTGTCTTCTCCTCGCGCGCCACTGCGCCAATGTTAGGATATCAGCGCCCCCCTTCGTGCCAGGAGGGCAAGCCCCCACTTACGAAGACGCCGTTCAATATGCCGCTCTGCCAGAGCACGAGCGTCCTCCCCTTCCCTCTCGGGAGACTCTTAAGTCGACTGGATACGACCAGCCGCCCCAACGGGACGCTGGAAAGCCAGGCGAAGGTGCTTCAGACTCAGTTCATCCTCCCAGCTGCAAGTCGTGTGTTGGTAGGACTTGGCCTGTTTCGTGAGCCAATACTGGCTGGTTTCGTTGCCCCAGGTGCGTTCCCAACCAGCTCACAGCGTGCCACCACTGTGGGCATATCTCGCACAATGGCCGCTGGCGCAACGCCAAAATGTGCAAAGCAAGGAACGAGATTCAGTACCGGTCTTGCTGGATCGAAGTCGCACTCCCGCACGAGATCAAAGGCGTATCCTGACATTTTCCCAGTGCCAGATAGCAAAGCCAACAAACTCCTGTCGTGCACTGCCCAATGCCTGTTTATTCAATTCAGGCCTCTTTTTCCCATGTGTTTCATTTTTTGCAGGTTGGACTCGGCTTGCTGTAGGTCTGTCCGCGTTTTCTGCTTGTGAGTCGCCCCCATTCCGTCTCCCCATATTTCAATTCGCTCTGTGGCCTACGCTCTCAGTGTTGTGCAGTTGTTCTCGATCAGCGCTGGCAGGGCCTTGCTTTCAATCAGGCGCTGCGTTTTCGAACTTGTCTGTCGTTGAACTTGTCCTTGTGTTGCTCCAAGCTTCTGCTGCTAGATTCAGCAGTTGATGCTTGTGCCAGCGCAGCATGTCCAAACCTGTCGTCCAGTTGTGGGCTTTCAGTCTGCGCGCTCACCCCTCTTCGCTTCGCTTCGCTAGTGGCTCTGGGTCGTTGTGCACGTGCAGCCACCTGTCCTGCCCCTCCACCTCGGCTGAGGGCAGGAGGTGGAGGGGGGGTGCATTCGGGAAAAGGTGAAAAGAAAGGAAGGTAGACTAGAATGGGAAGCAGCAGCACCACAAATGGAAGGGGGGGAGCTCACCCCTCTTGGTCTCCCTCTTTGCCCCCTTGGGCCTCCGATCACGGGTCGCGCAGGCTCGCGACATTGTTAGTCGTTATATGCTCGTCGAGTTTCTTCCCATTGGCGTTGCCCCTCTCAGGTGCACGTTTCCACCTCGTGTGGCGTAGTGCCGAATATTCGTCTCTGCATTGTTGAGTGCTTTGCTTAACTGCTGCTCATGCAGAGGCAGCATTCGAGCTGGCGGCCTGTTACTATTTTCGGGGGCGCGCAAACATGGATTACCGATCCATACATTTGGCGCGCGGTCGACTAATCCATGGATCGGGGGAGGTGCCCTCCCCAAAATGCGGCCGGAGCTGCATCGTTCGGCGGCGGAAATCCGCGATTTCCCATGGAAACGGGACCCGTCGCTAATTCACGCCCCCTTGATCATGTTTGCGATCGCCTGATATTTGGTTGGCCTGAAGCCTTTTCGTCAACTTGCTGTTGCAATGCTTACCTCTGCTTCATTTCATTTCCCCCCTCCCCCTCCCGGCTGGGTTGGCGTACGCCCCCTCGGGCCTTCGAGCCTCTCATGCCTCCTCGCCCTGGCTGCCTGGCTCTTTTGAAGGGGCCTAGGGACACAAAATAAATCCGCGGACCCTGTCGGCGTGTGGAAGACGCATCCCGGTGTCGTCGTCTTGCGTGGATCACCGTCGTCGTCGTCGTCGTCGTCGTCGTCGTCGTCGTCGTCGTCGTCGTCGTCCGTCGTGTCCTCGTCGTCTCCGTCTCCGTTGTCCCTCGTCGTCTTCGTCGTTCCCCGTCTCCTTGAGCGCGCGAGCCAAAGCGACATTGAGCAACGTCGTAGTTGAGTCGTGGCGAAGCCCCTCCCTACCCTCCCCGCCGGGGGTGGGGGGGGGGGGGGGGTCGCCGGGGGGGGTCGCCGGGGGGGGTCGCCACCCAGATACGCATCCTCCCCGGGGGGTCCCGGAGCTCAGAAAAGCTTCAAGAAGAGCGACAGAAGACACCCCCAAAAGGGTACAAGAGGGCCTCGACTCGACGAACGATGGCCCCGAGACGCCCAAGACGGCCCGAAGACGGCCCAAGAGGCCCTCAAGACGCTCCAAGAGAGCCCCAAGAGCACACCCAAGAGGGCCCCAGGCGACAAAATCGTAAATTTTACATCGGTTTTTGAATGATTTTGGCCTTCTCGCCTTTTCGGCTTTCCGACACTCCAAGACGGCCCAAGAGGCCCCCAAGAGGCCCCCAAGAGCGCCCCAAGAGGCCTACAAGAGGGCCCCAAGACGGCCCAAGAAGGCCCCAGGACAGCCTAAGAGGCGCCCAAAACGGCCCAATAGGGCCCCAAGACGGGCCCAAGAAACGGCCAAGAGGGGGACGAGGAACCGAGAATTCGAGACTTCCGCCCTAAGAGGCCCCCGGGAAGCCCCAAGAGGCCCCGAAAAGGCCCCAAGAGGTCCCCGAGCGGCGCCAAGACGCCCCCAAGATGCGCCGAAGACGGCCTCCGAAGCCCCAAGACGTCCAAAAGAGGCCCCAAGAGGCCCCACAACGGCCCCCAAGAAGCTTCAAGTTGCCTTCCAGACGCCCCCGAGAGGTCAACCACGAGATCCCAACCAACATCCATAAGGCCTCCTCCTCCTCCCCCTTCACCCTTCCTCCTCCTACTCCCTTCCGCCTCCTCCTCCTCCTCCTCCTCCTGCCCCCCCCTCGCGTTGTCTTTCGTCATCTTCAGGGTCGGCGGCAACGGCCGTAAGGCCTTCGCAATACACACAAATCCCAAGATTCCCAATCTTCTTACATATTTTCTGAGTTTTCGTCTTCCCCCCCGCTTCCCACAGTTTCCATCATTTCCCGGGGGATCGACGACTAATTATGTCTGTGTGTTCTTTCCCCTCCTGATCTTTACTTTCTGTATTGCAGAGTGCAGCTATGAATCGCGGCAGTGGCCGCCCTTTGCCCAAGGGGCCAGTGGCGCTCGCCCGCAAGCTTTTTCGACACTCGAGTACGCCGACCTCAGCCATACCGCCGGTCGATCGGTCGATTGCCGTCGTCGTCCTCCTTTGGCCAACCTCGGGCCCCACTTGTGCACGCCCTCCCTCCCTGCCTCTCTGCTGAGGTGCCGTTGCTGCCCTTCTGCCGCACATTATATCTACAGTTGTTGGTAACTGTTTTTGATGCATATGTTTTTTGTGTCTCTGTCTCTCTCGCTCCTACCCGATACATCGAGGAAGAACAAGCAGCACAAACAGAAACTTTCGGAGCTCCACGCGGATGTCTTGGATCGGCGCTGGACCCCCATGGCGTGGTGCACGCTGCGCGCCAGGGTGGGGGGGTCCAGCGCCGATAGTCCGCGCAGAGCTCCGAACCTTTATGCTCGTGCACTGTTCCTTCCTCGAACTTCTGCGTCCAAGAGCGAGTCGAACCCCAAAGTCTCAAGTCTCACAGGAAGTCCTGGGAGGTCCAGACCAGGTCCCTTTCGGCCCTGGGAGGCCAAACAGATCCCCCACTCGTCGACAAGCCCGGATCCCCGATACGTCTCTGGTCCTCGTCTCCCTCTCCGCCTCCTCCCTCCTCGCCTGGCCGAAGCTAAAACGCGCGCCTTCGCCCTCGTCCCTGTCGTCCTCGTCCTCCTCCCCATCGCCTTCCTGCCCCTCGGCCTCGCCCAATCTCGTCCTCGCCTCCGCTCCACCTCCCTCCTCGCTCGGGGGAAGTCTCTGGGAGTCGGGCGCGTGCTAACCCTGATTACGGAGCCGTGGATCCGGCGCACAGGCGCCGGATTCACGCATCGGGCAGAACGCTGCCAGAAGTATGGCGCCAGTGCCGCCCGAGTCGGCGACGGAGCGCGCCGATTCTGTATGGAAGCGGGACCCGTCGCTGATGCACGCGCCTTGATCCACGTCCGCGTCTCCTCGAGGGAGGTCCCCGACAGGCCCCGGGTCTCCAAAGGCCCGCCCCCAGGGGCGGGAACACATTGAAACACATCGGTGCGCCTCGTCTCCGTTGCCGCCTCCCCATGAGATCCGACGTCGCGAAGGTGAGCGTTTTCTCATTCGGCGTTTCGACATTGAGCGAAGAGGGGGGGTGAGGGGGGGGGGTCCGGCTCTGGACCTCTGCGTAGTGCGACTGTTTGCGACAGTGCGTCCTATGAGGGAGGACTCCACCTGCTCGAAGCAGGCGCCAAAAACAGCCAAGATCTACTCCAGGGGGGGGGTACGAGGGCCCGCGCCGATCGGCAGAACAATGAATAAGAAAACGATCACAAACAAGAATGCAACGTCGTGTTTCTGCGACGCTCCTCGAACCTGATCGATCCGCAACGTGTCCTGGGCACCGACGACCGGGCGGAAACGCCCGGTTTCAACAACACAGCGACGCCGAGATCCCAGAGAACCTCCTCGCGGCGGGAACGCGTTTTCTCTCAAAATCGTTCCGCCCCCTTTTCTGGACGCCACTTTGACTGGTGCCTCGAGCTGCGTCCAGCCGCGGCCACGAGGGGGTCCTTCGACGCCTGGGAGGGGCCGAGAAGACTGAACGCATTCGGCACTCGACCCTCAATCCTCGAAGAAGCATCTGCATACAAATATGCGAGAGCAGAACATCCACACTCATTGTCACCACCCCGACACGCGAAGCCGTTTCGTAAACGCACCCAAATCGAACAAGGCAGGGCTGTTCAGTAAACACCCAAGGCCGTTTAGCAAGCGCCCATTATCGGGTCCGGGTGGCTTTCCCTCCCCTGCTACGCCTTCGGATTTCTCGGGTCGGTGCTGGAACCCCCCCCCAGCGGCGCGTCTGCCGCCGCCCCGGCCAATCTCCGAGAAGTCCGCGCGAGCCTCCGAATTCACTGAAGGGGCCCAGGGACACACAAATAAATAAACACAAATAAAAGGATTCCCCACATTTCCCCTGTTTTCTGGGTTTTTGTCTTCCCCCCCACCTCCCACCATATTTTCGCATATTTTCTGGGGAATCGACGATTCATTGTGTCTGTGTGTTTTTTCCCACCGAATTCACACACGAGCGACGATCAAAAACGGGCCTCGCGCGAGATGACACGACGACCGTACGCTGACGGGTCTGCACGGGCCGCCGGCGCGACGCGCTGCTTTGGAAACGAGGGCGCTCACGCGCGACTCTACGCGGGCAGCTTGCGCGCCGAGGTCGGCACAGACGACCCCGTTTTTGAAGGGGAACTGGAACACATAAATAAATACACACAAATAAAACTATCCCCCATATTTTCCCATATTTTCTGGGTTTTTGTCTTCCCCACCACTTCCCATATTTTTGCATATTTTCCTGGGAGTCGACGATTAATTGTGTCTGTGTGTTTCCTTCCCTCCTGAGTTTTGTTGCGTCGCTCACGAATTCAAAGACGTTTTCCTCTCTTGGGGGCGCATCTTTTACTTCCGCCGCCTTCCGCCGAGCTTCCGCCGGCGGAGGCGGCCTCAGTTTACTTCCGCCGTCCTTCCGCCGCCAGTCCGCCGAGGACGAGATGACGACTCTTTCTATCCTCGAAGGCGAGGCCCTTTTTAGGAACGCCCCAGTTGTGTCTGTGTAGACTTTGCTTCTTCGAGATCCTGCCCCCTCGCCTGGGGGGGGCCCGAAGTGACGGAGTCTTCCACCCTCGGGGGCGCGCAAACATGGATTAGCGATCCATGGATTTGGCGCGCGGTCGCCAAATCCATGGATCGAGGGAGGTGCCCTCCCCGAAATTCGGGCCGGGCGAAAGGGGGGGATAGCAAAGGGGGGTTTCAGAATCAGCTCACGTAGCTGATTTTCCCGGCGCCTCCCGGCGCCGGGAGGCGGCCATGTCTCGAGGAATGGGCCCGGCGGCAGGGCCGAAATCAGCTGCATGCAGCAGATTTCGTAACCCCCCCTTTCCCAATCCCCCTCTTTCGGTCGGCCCGAAAAATGCGGCCGGTGCCGCCCCGTTCGGCGGCAGAAATCCGCGATCCCCAATGGGAACGGGACCCGTCGCTAATCCACGCCCCCTTGATCCATGTTTGCGATCGCCTGCCTGGAGTCGAACAGATACCTCAAGGAGGAGGAGGAGGAGGAGGAGGAGGAGGTGGAGGAGGAGGAGGTGGTGGGGGAGGAGGAGGAGGAGGAGGAGGAGGAGGAGGAGGAGGAGGTGTTGGGAAAGGAGGAGGAGGAGGAGGAGGAGGAGGAGGAGGAGGAGGAGGAGGAGGAGGAGGAGACACGATGACACCCTCGACCCTCGAGCCCCCATTCTCCTCAACCTCGACCCTCGAACCTCCGTCTTCGACCTTCGAGCCTCGAGCCTCGAATTGCACTTCGCTCCCCGATCCTCGATCTTCGAACCTCTCTTCTCGAATCTCTTCTCTCCTCGAGCCTCCCCCCTCGCCCGGTGGAAGAGAGTTGAAGGCGCGTCCTCTCGCCCGTCAAAGGGGTCACTCCACGCGAAGGGTCGGAGCGTGACCCAGGTCTCCCGCGACCGTTCGGGACGACTCGGGCACCCCCAGTGTAACGCCCTCGGCCGGGCGCAGCTGCAGGATCGCGTCCCGAGGTTGGCACGTCCTCGAGGACCGCCGAAGACGTCCGAGAACCTTGAGCCTCGACCTCCTCGCCCAGCGCAAGAGCCGGCGACTCCGAACGGTGTGGCTTGCCAAGGGTGCGGCTTGCAACCTGCGCCTGGGGGTCGGGCGAGGACCTGGACAGGGATCGCTGCCACGCCCCGAGGGAGGCTCGTCAGAGCTCTGGCGCAGCGTGGCGGCCCCCCGAGCCCCAACGGCGCTGGTCGCAAACCACACCCCTGCGCAACCACGCCCATTGGTAGCCGCCGAGAAGAGGAGCACTCGCGGGTCTTTTTGCCCGTCATGGGGTCGTAGTCCGCGGGGTCCTCCTCACCAGCAGCGGGGCGGCCGCCGTTCCCCCTCCCCCGCCCGCCCGCGGCTGCCCGGGCGCCAACACTGCTGCGGACCGCTGCGGTCCACACCCAAGATTAGCCTGGGCATGTCCTTCTACAGGCGGATTTTGAGAGAAAGATGAAAGAATAATCAAGAAATGCACCCGAATAGTCGAAAGCAGTCGCAACATCGTTCCCAGACTATTTTTGGACTCTTTCTAGATAGTCCTCCTGTAGGGGGACATGCCCGACTTGAACCCAGGATTGAGGCGGGCGTGTCCCCCTACAGGGGGACTTTGGACGAAAAATAAGACATACCCGGAACATTCAGAAATACGCAACAATAGTCAAAAAGTCCTCCCGGACTTTTTCTGTACGCACTTATTTTTTTAAAGGATTCGTATAGGTTCTTATAGCTATTTCCGATCTGTCCTCCTGCAGAGGGACAGGACCGACTTGAACCCCAGGAGCTGGCCGGGCCCGCAGGCCGAGCGAGGTTCGCGCGGGCGAGCCTCACGACAGCCTCGCGCGGCGTCGACGCGCGCAGAGGTTTGGCGCCGCCGCGTCCAGCGTACGGCCGGTTCGTGCGGCGCTGGCGCGCGGGCGAATGAGTCAAGAACGAATCGGCAAACGCTCAAAAGAACGAATCAAGCACGAATCAAGAATCGGGAATCAGTGAATCAAACATCGGCATTGCAAAAAAAAACTGAGTTTTTTTTTTTTTTTTTTTTGAATGCGCACTTTCCCTGAGAGGTTGGGGGCGTCGGGCCCCTGCCGGCGGCGATCCAGGGGGCGATGGGGGGTCGATCGCGGCCACGCTCGTTCAAGGCTGGCGTCCGTCGGGTCCAGTGGCGTCACCGCGTCCCTCGGTGCGTCCGCATCGCAGAGTTCAACCTCGAACGCCTTCGCCGAGGTCGCCTTGATGTAATTTATCGTAGATCCCCGGCGGGGGATCCAGGCCATTTGCGAGTGGTTACTCTGCGAGTAGTGGAACGCGCTCGTCGACACGGGGAGACTCCACCTGCTCGAAACGGGCGCCCAAAACAGCCAAGACCTACTCCAGGGGGGGAGGCGGCGAGGGCCCGCGCCGATCGGCAACAGAATGAATCCCCAAACTCCCACATAGCGAATGCGCACGCTCCTCGGCAGGCTGGGGGGCGTCGGGCCCCTGCCGGCGGCGATCCAGGGGGCGATGGGGGGTCGGTGCGTCCACCCCCCGTGCCCAACTATCCCCCCCCCCCATCGTTGCCCCTGGCACAGGAACCAGCGCAGAAGAGACAAGCACATCGGCATACACATCAACTTTCGCGACGGCCCGCGCGGATCCAGGAAGTCCGCGCGGAGCGCCAACACAGTTTACGCTTCTGGCGCTTTTTCTTCCTCGACAGAGGGCCACCGGCCCAGGCGGATTTTGGCCGACCAAGGAAAACTAGTCAAACAAAATACCCCCAAATGGCCAAACAGGAAAAGAAACATCGTCCCCAGACTTGTTTCTTGTCGTGCCACTATTTTGGAATGTTCCTCCTGTGGCGGGACACGCCCGACTTGCCCAGACTTGTTTCTTGTCGTGCCACTATTTTGGAATGTTCCTCCTGTGGCGGGACACGCCCGACTTGGCCCCCGACCGGCGGGCGACCCCGACGGCGGGCGACCGAGGGCGACCAGCCTGCGGGGACCGGCAGGGGGGGCAGCGGCGGGGCGCCTCTGCGCCCCCCCCCCCCGTGGGGGTGGGGGAGGGGGGGGGGCGACGAGCCGGGCGGAGGGGGGGGAGGAAGGGGGGGGGGGGGCGGGAGGGAGGGATGGTGGACGGGGGTGGGCGGAGGGGGAGGCGGGGGAAGGAGGCGGGCGCAGGGGGAGGACAGGAAGCAGGGGAGGGGGGAGGAGAGGAGGAGGAGCAGGAGGAGGAGGAGGAGGAGGAGGAGGAGGAGGAGGAGGAGGAGGAGGAGGAGGAGGAGAGGGAAGAGGAGGCACAGGAGGAGGAGGAGGAGGAGCAGCAGGAGGATCACTGTTACGTTTACGGTACACATGCGGTGGCCAATCGCAGAACTGGATGCTTTTACAAACTCATCTCAGGGACACCATCGTGTCGTAGTCGACCGGGAACGCGTCTGACCCCAAGACTTAGACGCACAACATGCCGAAGAACGACCACCAACAACATCACATCCCACATGATGACACATCAGCCGCCATCAAGACCGATAACTTCGAACAACACGCCGCGATGAACAAACACCTTTCAAGTACAATAATAATAAGAATAATGATAGCAAGAGCAATGGTAATCATACTAATAATACTAATAGTAAGCGTAAGAATAATAATACTGCGAATCGTAATAATAGTAATAGTAATAGTAATAGTAATAGTAATAGTAATAGTAATAGTAATAGTAATAGTAATAAGAATAATACTGATCATAATAATAATGATAATAATAATACTGATAATAATACAAATCATAAGAATAATACTAATCGTAATAATAATACTACTAATAATAATACTAATAATGCCGACCAGCCGCCACCCACGGGGTCCACAGCCCACGGCAAGACAACACCGCAAAACAAACGCCAAAATGAAACATCTCCAGCACCACGCCGTGAACAAGAAACATGTTCTTACTGCGAGTACGGAACAGGTTCTCGTGATGCGAGGAATAACAAGACGAAACATCAGCACACTGGCTACAACTAATGGCGGAATGCTAATACGAGGAATCGTTTGAAACCCGGGCCTCGGACGCCTCCAAACAGCCTTGCGAAATCCCACTGCCAACAACAGATGCCACCCAATGCCCTGCCTGCAATAGCGGTGGGCCGGGCCTGGCTAGCCTTCACTACGCGCGCGCATTTGCAACCGCACGTCGCGGTCGGCCGCGATGTCTTGAAAGGCGACGTGGACGATCCGCAGCAGGAAAGAGAGACAACCATGCGAGGAAGAAGCCGCATAGTTTTTCGGCCATAGCTCGGGAAGCAGATCGATCTCAGACTTCTCGAGCATGTGGACGACAGCTCCCGATGTTGCTAGACCTATCATCTACAGAACATCTCTGCAGCTGCTCTAAAGGTCGAGATCGAGTCGAACAACCGAACAGCTGCCCCAACACGTTGCCGCACCACCAAGCGCAGCACGACGCCAAAGCCCACCGTGCCGACGAGCCCCCGGACGACGAAGAACGCCTCGAACGTCGTGCCGCACCGGCGTCCGATGCCCCGGTGCCCCGTGGCCCGCCCATCGAGGCATGCGCCCCCACGGGCACGAGGAGAGCCTCCAAGAGCGCGAGCAGCAGCACCCCGCACGCGAAGGGCTCCCAGGTGCGCGCTCCGCGCTGCACGAAGCACGAAGTTCGAACAACTTCGCGCTCTCGCGCCGCCTCCCAGGGGGGGAAGAGGAGGATGAGGAATCGGAGCCGAACTGCGAAGCGCGAATAACTTCGCGCCCTCGAGGGCGCCCTTGCACACGAAGGTAGAGACGAACGAACTCAACCTGGCGTTGCTTGGAGCACTATGGCCTCGAGCGGCAGGATAGCACACCATCCCGCTTTAAGTTCTTGGACGACGGCCGGGCGGCGTCGCGGGGGACCACTCGAGCCACCGTGGCTTGATACCTGGAGGTGGGGGATCAGGAAAGAGGCACGCGGAAGGTGTGAGCAGGAGCAGGAGCACGAGCAGGAAGAGGAGGGGGAGAAACTTCAGGAGGGACAGATCTGCGTTGTCGGTGTCAATCTCACCCTGATCCTCACCTACCCTCCTCCTCCCGCACTCGAGCGCTTTTCAACCCTCGAGCGCTCCTCTCCCTGATCCTCGCCTACCCTCCTTCTCCACCCTCGAGCGAGCCCTCCTCTTTCGCCCTTTGAGCGCTCCTCCGCCCCTCTCTCCTCCTCTCGGGAAAACGGATGAGGAGGAGGAGGAGGAGGTTGTGGGAGGAGCGACGAAAAAGGATCTAGAGGAGGAGGGAGAGGATGAAGGAGGAGGTGGGAGGACCGACCTAGATGAGGAGGAAAAGGAGGAGGAGGAAAACAAGGCGGAGGAGGAGGAGCAGGAGGAGGAGGAGAAGGCATAGGACGAGGAAGAGGAGGAGCAAGAGGGAGGAGCAAGAGAGAGAAGCAAGAGAGAGGATGATGATGATGGTGATGATGAGGCGAAGGATGATGATGATGATGCTGATGATGCTGATGATGATGAGGAGGAGGAGGAGGGGGAGGAGGAGGAGGAAGAAGAAGAGGAGGGGGATGAGGAGGAGGAGCAGGAGGGGGAGGTGGTGCGATTCTCCGACCGCATCTTCTCGGACCCCATTTGAGAGGCCTAGATTCTCCCAGGACCAGCTCTCGAGTGTGCGAGCTGTTTGTTGACAGTCCCGGGGCCGGGACCAGGCCCCTGGAGGCGGAGCGCGGCCGAAAACCTCTAGGGTTGGACGCGGCCGCGGGGTCTGCGCTGAATAGGCCCCGGGAAAATCGGTCAAGACGGGGGGACGAGGTTGAAATCGCTGCAAATCGGTGCTAAGACCCCTCCCGGGGCATTTGGACAACTTTTGGGGCACCGGGATTAATCACCCGACTCCCCCCCCGTCCCTGGCCGACTCTGACTGGCCGACTGGCCGACGGGCCGACTGCGGAGTTGGAAAGTTCTTTCAGGTGCCCAATTTATTATCTCCCGGGGTCGAAACTGTTTCATTTTTTGAGCCGCGTCCAAGCGTGGCGACGAAGGGGCCCCTCTCTTCCGCTTCTCTGCTGGCCAGAACCACGGCCAGGCCACCTCACTCCCCAATTGGGCGGGTGGTAATGGGGGGTGACCCATACGGGGGGTGAAGAAAAAGACCCTAGAGGGGTCCTTTTCTTCACCACCCATCTGGGTCACCCCCCATTACCACCCGCCCGACCCAACTGGCTCCAATTATAGAGCCCGTTTCCGGCCAAGACCCCCGTGCTTCGTGGCGATCCCCTGCCAAGGACCCTCCGCCACCTTCCATACCCTCCGACTTCCGCGAAGGTGCGGAAGAATTCATCGAAACTCATGGAAACCTTACGTCATTCAAGGAAACCCACATCGATCATATCGAAAAAGGGCAGAACATTAGGGCGGGAGGCCCGGAAGAATGAGGGCGAGGTTGCTAGAGGCCTCCTAGATGGGGTCCGAGTAGACGGGGTCGGAGGATCGCGCCGCATCGCCGATACTACAGCGATGCATCGGCGATGCACCAGCGATGCATCGTCGACGAGGCCGATGTATCGGCGACGCTGGCGAGGAGGAAATCGGGCTGCCCATCGCGTCGCATCGCCGATGCATTGGCGATGCGGCGCGATCCTCCGACCCCATCAACTCGGACCCCATCTAGGATTAGGTCGGGCCTGTCCCCCTGCATGCGGATTCTGGACGAAAAATAATCAATACTCAAAAAATGCTCCCAAATGGTCAAAACAACTCCCCAAATCGTCACCTGACTATCTTTTGACTACTTTTGAATTTTAGAAGAGGAGGAGGAGGAGGAGGAGGAGGAGGAGGAGGAGGAGGAGGAGGAGGAGGAGGAGGAGGAGGAGGAGGAGAGGAGGAGGAGGAGGAGGAGGAGAGGGGAGGAGGAGGAGGGGGAGGGGGGGGAGGACGAGATGGAGGGGGAGGGGGCGCCGCGGCACTGGCGTCCTCCTGGGCGCCTGGGATGACCCAGCGGCCCTTGTCGTTGTCGTAGTAGGGCTTCGGCTGCCGGGCGCGCCCGGTTCCGCCAGGGAGTGAAGGCGTCGTCGTCGTCGCGGTCGTCGTCGTCGTCGTCGTCGTCGTCGTCGTCGTCGCCGTCGTCGTCGTCGTCGTCGTCGTCGTCGTCGTCGGTGTTGTCGTCGTTGGCGTCGTCGTCGTTGCCGTCGACGACGACGACGTCGTGGCGGGGCGCGGCGCTCGCCAGCGCTCGCGGAGCCGCCGGGCGTCGACGACGGCGTCGACGGTCGCCGAGAACGACGACGACGACCTCCTCGATTTCGGCCTCGCGCCTTCCTGCTCCCTGGGCGGGGGAAAGGGGGAAGACGGGGGAGGGAGAAGGAAAAGGGAGGAGGAGGAGAAGAAGGAGGAGGATGGGGAGAAGGAGGAGGAGGAGGAGGAAAAGGAGGAGGAGGAGGACCGATCCGCGGTGGCTGGAGGATGAAGCAACCTGACGAACACTTCGAAGAGCAAGGGCGGAGCGAGACGGCGTCAGCTTCTCATCGCTGTGCGAGCTTGGCGAAGAAGAGGAGGAGGAGGAAGAGGACGGGGAGGAGGAGGAGGAGGAGGAGGAAGAAGAAGACAACGAGGAAAACAAGGAGGAGGAGGACTCCAGGCCGGGGGATTGTGGAGCCCCTCGTCGTTTTCATACGGCTTTTATCGAATGAAACCCTCTTTCACCCTCACACTTTTCTTATATTCTTTTCGCCGTGATCCCCTCATACTGAATCTTTTCTCGTTACATCGTTCTCTGGTGTTCTCTCTCTCTCTCTTTTTCTCGTTGTGTCTATCTCTCTATCTCTCTATCTCTCATGCCGATGCGATGCAAATCCATTCCCAACCAACACCAATGCCAATGCAATGCCGATAGGGGGCATCCTTTCGTTCGGTGGATTGCAATAAGAATACTTTGTGGATGATGTCATTACTAATCCTTCTTCGGAGGATTTCAATAGCAATGCTTATGTGAAGGGTTTCGATAGGGAGCCTCATGTGGATGGTTTCACTAGGAATCCTTCATGTGGGAGGATTCAATCGGAATCGTTCTTGTGGAGGGTTTCAGTCGGAGTCCGTCTGCGGAGGGAGCCACTACGACTTGCCAGCGCAATGCCAACGCAATGCCAAAGCTTTGCCATCGCAATGCCAAACCAATGCCAAGGCGATCTCAATTCAATGCCAATGCAATGCCAATGAGGGGTATCCTTTGTGGTAGATTTCAAAAGGAATCCTACCTGTGGAGGGTTTCGATCGGAATCCTTTCGTGGGGGGTTTCAATATGAATATTTTATGTGGGGGGCTTTCAAAAGGATCCCTTCTTGTGGAAGGTAAGGAATCCTTCTGTGGTGGGAGCCATTCGAACTTGCCAGCGGAAAGCCGAAGCAGTGCCAACGCAATGCCAAACTAATGCCAATGCAATGCAAATGGGGGAGTTGTTTGTGGTAGATTTCAATAGCAATCCTTCTGAGAACCCTTCGTCTGGGGATTTCAAGAGGTAACCTTCTATGGAGGGCTTCGCATGGAACCCTTCTGTTGAAGATTTCAATGTGAATCTTTCCTGTGGGGGGGATTCAATAGGCATCCTTTTTGCGGGGGTCTTCAATAAGAATCCTTCTGTGAAGTGTTTGAGTAGGACTCGCCAGCGCAATGTCAACGCACTGCCAACGCACTGCGAACGCACTGCCATCGCAATGCCAATGCGATGCCAAACCAATGCCAATGCACTGCCGATGGTGGGATTCCTGTCTTCCAGCAGGTTTCACAAGGAATCCTTATGTGGATGATTTGGTGACGAATCCTTCTTCGGACGATTTCGATAGGAATCCTCCCGTGGAGGGTTTCGATTGTAATCTTTCTGTGGGGGGTTTCACTTTGAATCCTTCATGTGGGGGCTTTCAAACGGATCCCTTCTTGTGCAAAATTTTCATAGGAATCCTCCCGTGGGGGGGGGGGGGGGGGGGGCATTAGAACTCGCCAGCGAAATGCAAACGCAAAACCAACGCAATGCCACAACGATCCCAATTCAATGCCAATGGGGAAAATCGTTTGTGGTCGGGTTCAAGAAGAATCCTTCTATGGAGGGCTTCGAATGGAATCCTTCCGTGAGGGAGTTCAATGTGAATCCATCTTGTGGGATGCTTCAATCGGAACCCTTCTTGTGGGGGGTTCAACAGGAATCATTCTGCGAAGGGAGGTGTTGGAACTCGCCAACGCAATGCCAACGCAATGCCAATGCAATGCCACACCAATGCCAAATCGATCCCAACCCAATGCCAATGCACTGCCCATGGGGGAAATCATTTGTGGTAGATTTCAATCTGAATCCTTCCGTGGAAAATTTCGCATGCAATCCTTCTTGTCATTATGAACCGTTTTTGTGGAGGAATTCAATCGGAGTCCTTCTTGCAGAAGGTTTCGATCGGAGTCTTTCTGTGGAGGGTTCCATTAGGACTCGTCAGCGCAATGCTTGCGAAATGCAAGCACACTAACAACGCACTGCCAAACGCAATGCCAACGCAATGCCAATGCGATGGCACACCATTGCCAAACCAATGCCAATGCCAACGGGGGGTTCTTTCTTTCGAAACATCTCCATATCAATCTTTCTGCGGGTGATTTCAATAGGAATCCATATGTGGAGGATTTCAATAGGAATCGTTCAGTGGAGGGTTTCGATGGGAATCCTTCTGTGGGGGATTTCACTATGAATCCTTCTTGTGGGGCGCTCAATAGGAATCCTTCTAGGGGGGATGGCAGATGAGGCCACGTCGCATTCCTTTTTTTTCGCCGCCGCCCCCCCCCCCGAGAAAAAACAAATCAACAAAACAACTGGTCATTTTTTTGGGGGGGGGAGGGGGAGAGCGAAACAGAAAGGAGGAGGAGGCGGAGGAGGCGCAATGCTTGCGAAATGCAAGCGCACTAGCAACGCACTGTCAAGCGAAATGCCAACGCAATGCCAATGCGATGCCAAATCATTGAAAAACCAATGCCAATGTAATGCCAACGGGTTTTTTTCGAAGTATTTTATTTTTTTTGCGGGTGATTTCAATAGGAATCCATATGTTGAGGATTTCAATAGGAATCATTCAGTGGAGGGTTTCGATGGAACTCCTTCTGTAGAGGATTTCACTATGAATCCTTCTTGTGGGGGCGTTCAATAGAAATCCTTCTAGGGGGGAGGGCAGATGAGGCCACGTCGCATTCCTTTTTTTCGCCGCCCCCCCCCTCCGGGAAAAAACAATCAACAAAAACAACTGGTCTGTTTTTTTTTGGGGGGGGGGGGAGCGAAACAAAGAGGAGGAGGAGGAGGAGGAGGAGGAGGAGGAGGAGGAGGAGGAGGAGGAGGAGGAGGAGGAGCAGGAGGAGGAGGATGAGGCGCAATGCTTGCGAAATGCAAGCCCACTAGCAACGCACTGCCAAGCGCAATGCCAACGCAATGCCAATGCGATGCCAAACCATTGCCAAACCAATGCCAATGCAATGCCAACGGGGGGTTATTTCTTTCGAAGCATCTCAATGTCAATCCTCCTGCGAATGATTTTACTAGGAATCTATCTGTGGATGATTTGGGTAGGAATCATTCAGTGGAGGGTTTCGAAGGAATCCTTCTGTAGAGGATTTCACTATGAACCCTTCTTGTGGGGGCGTTCAATAGGAATCCATCTAGGGGGAGGGCAGATGAGGCCACGTCGCCTTCCTTTTTTTCGCCGCCGACCCCTATCCCCCCGAGAAAAGAAACAAAACATCTGGTCATTTTTTTTTGTCTTGTTTTTGTGTTTTTTTTTGGTTGGGGGAGGGGGGGGAGGGGGGAGAGAGAGAGAGAGAGAGAGAGAGAGAGAGAGAGAGAGAGAAAAAAAAAGGAGGAGGAGGAGGAGGAGGAGAGGGAGGGAGAGGCGGAAGGAGAGGAGGACGCCACAGAGTACGCACACCACTGAAAAACGCACGCGCGAACTCAGTGTGAAAGCCTCGCGCGCGCGCCCTGGAACCCCGAGGGGCTCCACAATCCCCCGTTCTCGAGGAGGAGGAGGGGGACGAGGAGGAGGAGGAGGAGGAGGAGGAGGAGGATGAGGAAGAAGAATAATGGGACGTCGGGCGCTGCGGACACGAGTAGAGAGCGAGAGCAGCAGGAGCAGCAGCAACAGGAGGGGCAGTGCGGGCAGAGACCAGCAACCGAGGGACGGAACGCCGTATGGATTTTGCGCCGAAGGCTGTCTTTCTGGGGGTCCCTCACTCCGCGGCCGCTGTTCATCTTCTATCGTCTGTGCATATGCACAGTGTAGCTCTTCCGCAATCCAAGCGGAAGAGGAAACGCTGTGCGGACTTTGCGCCGGAGGCTGTTTTTCTGGAGGTACCTTACTCCGCGGCCGCTCGTTCATTTTTTCTTCCACCTTTAGCTTTTCCACGAACCAAATTTTGCTACATCACACTTCGTGCCTCATGCTGCCGCTGACGAACAAATGATCTGCGGGACCCGGGCCCGCGACGTCGCCGCCGCGCCGACGCTGGCATTCGCTCGTACACCTGGGCGCCGAGACGGTGACTCTTGTCGGGTGCGCTGAAAAGGGGGTGGGCAGGAAACGTGCTGAAAGAAGAAGGCACGAAAGCCCACAACATCATTTTTAAGTTGGATCGGTGATCGAAATGAGTTAGATCGGCGGAAATCGGCAGCCAAATCGGGAGAGATCGAATCGGCAGGAATCGGCAGGCTAGTAAGCGTCCACCGAAAAATCGGAACTCAAATCGGAATCCGAAGTCGAATCACATCGGAATCGGAGGCCATCGAAATCGAATTGAACCGGATGGATCGAAATGAGCCCAGGAACGAGCAGGGGCCATGGAATTTGAAGACACCATGGCCACGGCCACGACATCCACGCCGCCCTGTTCCTTACCCCTCTCTTGGCATGCTCCTGGTCTCGAAGCGAAGGGGGCCGCCCTCGGATCGGCACGCCCGAAATGGGTACGGAAACTATGAACCAGATATGCCACGCCGCACGCACTCGGATCGGCGCGCCCCATGCCCGGGATGACCAGCAGCAAACGGGAAAGCTACCAGGAGACCAGGAGGCCCCAAGAGGCCCCTACGAGGCCCCAGGGAGCCCCCAAGAGGCCTCCAGGAAGCCCGAAGGGACCCCCAAGAGGCCCCCAAGAGGCCCCCAATATGCTCCCACGAGGCCACAAAACTGCCCTCCAGATGCCTACGAGCGCGCTCCGAGGAGGCCCCACGAAGCATCACTGAGGACTATGCTCCACGTCAGCGTCGTCGCCGCCGCCGACGCCGCCATCGTGGTCGTCGTCCCCCTTCAGGGTCGGCAGCACCAGCCGTAAGGCCTTCTCAATATGCACACGATGACCAACGGCAAAAGGTATCCCAAACCGACAGCGGCCGCTGTTGGGCAGACGACTTCTTGCCTCAAGCGGACACCGTCCGCGGCGAAGCCGACAGCGAGTCCTACTCGGAGTGGACAAAAACTGCTGCCGACCTTCGTCCCCCGTCTTTCCGCACCCATTCGGATCGTACCGAGCCTGGGGTCTGGGAGTACTCAAAAGAGAAAAACGACCAACGGCACAAACATGCTTTGTCGGATGTCCGCGCGGATTTCTTGGATCTGCGCTCAACGCCCTTTCCTGGCGCGCGGAGCGCGTCAGGGGCGGCGCTGGAGGCGCCGCCACGGGGCCCCAGCGCCTATCCAAGAATTTCGCGCGGAGCTCAGAGAAATCGTGTCTATGCCGTCTTGCGTTCTTCGAATAATATGTAGCACACCGCGGTTGCGGATAAGGGTAAGGGGGCGGGCGCGGGGTGGGTCGCGGGTGGGTCGCGGGTGGGTTGTGGGTGGGCCGCGGGGGACGCGGAGGGGTCGCGGGAGGTCGAAAGCGAGAACGACGACAACAACGCAACAATGATTCGGGCCACGGAATTCCAGCTCAGCCACGCGCCCAGGGACAATGCATGATCGCTCGGCTCCCTGACTCGGACCAACCCTCAGCGACCGGTGGGCACTGGTGGGCACGGAGCGCGCTGGGGGTGGCGCCGCCAGGGAGCCGCAGCGCCGATCCAAAAAAGCCACGCGGACCTCCGAGAAATCATGCTAGCTCGCGCTCTCGAGCCCACGACGGCAGCAGTCAGGCGGCGCGCCGCGCGGCCGAACAGCGAGGATGGGGACGCGCTAAGTCTGACTTTGCTTCGCCCTCGTGAATCCGAGCTTGCGCAGTTTTTTGGGCTCTTCGAAAGCTACAGGAACTTTCAGCGACTGATGGGCACAAAGGCCTCCGTTCGGCGGCGACGATAGGGGCGAATAGCCCCAGGGGCGGGCATTACACGCATTCGCAGGGGAGCCTCTTCGAAGACATAGATCATCGGCGAACCTGCATGCATGTATTGCTCTCCCCTGGGCTCTTCGCCCCCATCGTCGCCTCTGATCCGCGTGGAAGGCCACCGCCCGGCAGTCCCCGGCGGCCGCCGGCTTGGGACCACGGAGAGCGCCCGCGCGCCATGCGCGCTCCGCTCGGAGCGCGGAGCCTGAGGGGCAATGGCGAGGAGAAGGAGAGGAGGAGGAGAGGAGGAGAAGGAGGGAAAGGGGGAGGAGGAGGAGGAGGAGGAGGAGGAGGAGGAGGAGGAGGAGGAGGAGGAGGAGGAGGAGGAGGAGGAGGAGGGAGGAGGAGGAGGAGGACGAGGAGGAGGAGGAGGAGGAGGAGGAGGAGGTGGAGGAGGAGGAGGAGGAGGAGGAGGGTTGTAGTGCCAGGTGAGCGACGATCATGAGCAGGTCTCGCACGAGATGGCACAGCGACCTTACGCGGCAGCTTGCGCGGGCCGACCGCGCGGCACACTACATTGGAGACGAGGGTACTTACGCGCGCGACCTTACGCGGGCAACTTGCGCGCCAATGTCGGCGCAATCGACCTCGTTTTTTTGTCCGTCGCTCATGTGGGACCTGCTCTAGAACAGGGACATACCGTACACGGATCTACCCTGTCTCCGACCTTGTGCTGCGCCGAGCGCAGTGGCCGCACTGTCTGTAGACGTATCCGCCTGGTTGTGTCTGCCGTAGCTACACCCAATGTGTCAGTAGACGCTTGTGGCCAGAATGCGGAAACGGTATTTGGCCTAGGCCAGAAACATTGGAATTCTAGAAGCAGGCAGGCTTGGCCCTCCAAGTAGGGACCCCTCCTGGGGTACATCCTTGGCCGCTTGAAAACAAGACAACACGACATAAACATACCATTTCGAGGGTCCGAGCGGATCTCTTGGATCTGCGCTAGACCCCCCTGGCGGTGCCTTCGGCTCCGCCCCAGGCGCGCTCCGCGCGCCAGGGAGGGAGGTCAAGCGCAGATCCGACCGTCGAAAATTTACATTTACGCAATTTGCTCGTCTTCTTCGACGTTCTCCGAGGCGCATCTAGCCGTGGCAACCATAAGCACCCAGTAGGCCCAGAAAGGACGAAGCACGCCTGGGAGGGCTGCCGTTGTCTGGGCTGACCCTCCTCCTCTCCTCCTTCTGCTCCTCCTGCTCTTCCTGCTCCTCCTGCTCTTCCTGCTCCTCCTGATCCTGCTCCTGCTCCTCCTCCTCCCCAGGACTGCCTCATCATCCCGGCTTGTTCTTGACGGGCCTGGTTCCCAAAGCTGGCCTCCAGAGGCCCAGGCCGAAGAAAGACCTGCCGTCAGGACGTCTGGCGCGCCCAGGTGCCGAGCCGGATCTCTCCGAGGCGACGAGGGCAGGAATGCGGGCCCCAAGAACATTCACCACCACGTCGATTCCTCCTCCCTCCTCTGCCCTCCTCTTCCTCTCCTCTTTCCTGGGGGGGGGGGAGGGAGGCGGTGGTGGTGGTGTATACGTTTGGGCCCTGTAGGGAAGAGGGGACCCCTCGCAGCCAGCCGAGGCAAGGCCTCGGCAAGCCCTGAGAGAGCCGACGTCGCGAAACAAGTGCAGTCCCGTGAAGATCCACGACAAGGGGGCAACGACAGGGGGGACTGCCTCAGGGGGGGAAGCACCGAGCTGGAATTGGGGATACATCGCCAATAGATCGGCGGTAAGCTCTCGATATAGCGAACCCACACGTTCCTGGATGGGGTGGGCTATCAAGCCCTTCTCGGCGGTGAATTGGCGATTGGTCGATACCCCCCCCCCCTGAGCCTATCCCACATGGTAATGCTTCTGGCTGCACACCGGCAGGCCCCCTCAGGTGATCCCCGCTGGCCTCAGCAGCCCTCCCCCCGAGCAGTCCGCGGGTGGTCTCAGCACCCTCGATCCTGGAGCGTGGAGCGCCCAAGGGGCGCCGCGGGAGGCAGCGCCAAAATTTTGATTTGAACGCCCGAAATGGGCACGGAAAGAATGGGCACAATGCCCGACAACAAATGTGTTGATTTGGACGCCCGAAATGGGTTTTGATTTGATTTGATTTGGACGCCCGACCTAAAGAAATGGGTTTTGATTTGGACGCCCGAAATGGGTACGGAAAGAATGGGCACAATGCCCGACAGCAAATGTTGTCCCAAACCAGCAGCGGCCGCTGTTGGGCAGGCGGCCTTCTGGCTCGAATGGACACAGGCCGCGGCGGCGTGCACAGCGAGTCCTGTTCACAATGAACAAGATCCGCTGTTGGGCATTGTGCCCATTCTTTCCGTGCCCATGTCGTTCGTGCAGAGTTGAGACCGTTCCAAACTGCGCGGGGGGCCTGTTGAGGCCAGCCCGACCTACCTGGGGGGGCTGCCTGTGTGCAGCCTGAAGCCTTGCCAGGTGCGCGAGCCTAACCAGGTGCGGTGCTCGGACCTCCGGGAGGCCCCGGCAGGCGCTGCTCAGGAGTCCCACCCCCTTCGGCTACACTTAGGGCGGTCATGTCCTCCTACAGGCGTATTTTGGACGAAGAATAAAACAATACTTCAAACATGCTCAAAACAAATTCAAACATACCCCCCAAAATAGTCCCATTATATTTTCTTTCATAACTATGCTTGCATATTCCTCCTCTAGAAGGACATGCCCGACTTAAGGCTACACGTAGGAGTCCCCAGGCAAGAGCGACCTCTTGGGCGCGGACTGCCGATCGTTGCATGCAGTGCGGCAGCACCGGCCTGCGTGCTTGGGGTTGGTCACCCCGCGTCCCCCAAAAGTCGCGCACCAAAGGTGGCTCCAGCGAAGGGTCCGTCTCTCTGACGTGCAACTGACCCTCCCCCGAGGCGGAGGAGCCTTCTCGACCGGCGGGCCGGCCTTTTCCGGGGACCTGTTCTCCGCCTCCGCGGGCCGCGCCGCTTCGCCGAAGCCTCCTTATCGCCGACTGGCGGTCTCTGGGCTTGGCACGAGGATCCTGTGAGCGACGAAAAAAGCGGGTGGTACGCGAGAATGCGTAGCGACCTTACGCCATCGCGTAGGCGGGCCGCCAGCGAAGCACGCCGGTGGCTTCCGGGCGGTCGATCACATGGCGATCACATGTCAATGATCACGGCCAAGATGTCTCCGAGAGCATTGGCGCAAAGAGAGGATGAGCAGGCTGTCTTCCCTGGGCCCAACGCCCGAGCTGACCTACCACACGCACGCTCGCCCCAGAACCTTCACAGTTAGCATGCGTGCTGCGTGTCTCTCGAGGTGCAAACCTTTCCGCCTGAGGCCCACCAGTCGAGGGATCTCGCCGGGCGCTTCGTGCCCTGTCCTCTCACAGTCAAAACTTTGCAGCATCTATCGGCGACTCCGAAGGGTGTGGTTTGCAAAGAGTGTGGTTTGCAGTCGGCACCCTGGGCGGCACCATGGGGGTCGGGCGGGTACCTCGATAGAGTTCTCCGCCGCGCCCCGACGAGGCCCGACGAGGACAGTGTCGTGACCTCCAGGCCCTCCAGGCTCCCACGGCGCCGATCGCAAACCGCACCCGGCGTAGCCACACCCCTCGCAGTCGCCGAAGATAGCATGCACCAAGGGCCGACGCCTGGCCCCCGCTGAGCCTGGTTCTGCGAGGGGCGCCCGAGGGGAAGCCCGAGGAATGACCTCCGAGCGAAACTCAGGCAGTCATTGCCTTGCAGCCAAGAAGCAGTCGGCGGTGCGCCGCGGGAGGGAAGTGCGAGGGGGCAAGCCTTCTCCGAAGGTGGCGGGGCTTCTCATGTCCTTTTGAGAGGCCGCCTTTGTCTTCGGCAGAAGCTCCGAAACAGTCGGCGGTGCGCCGCGGAAGGGAAGTGAGAGGGGGCAAGCCTTCTCCGAAGGTGGCGGGGCTTCCCAGAAGCCCTCTTCGGCTACACGCAAGAGCGACCCTGGGTACGAGTGACCTTTGGTGCGCGGTTTTTGGGGGCCGCGGGGTAGCCAAACACAAACGCGCAAGCCGCCACTGCCGCCTCGAGATCACCGGTCGGGGGACCCCATTGGGCCCGTACCAACGGTCACTCAGGCGAAAGGTCACTTTTGCGTCTAGTCGACCTCTGGCCGTTTGAGAAGCCGTCTCTGTCTTCGGAAAAAGGCCCAGAAAGCTTCTCGGAAGGCCAGGGGCCTTCTGAGCCTTTTGAGGAGGCGCGCCTCCTCTGCCTCCCCGCCCCTGGTCGCGGCCGAGACAACCCGTCCCTGCTCCAGCTGCCCGGTCCGTTCTGGCACCTCCTCCTCCTCCTCCTCTTCCTCCTCCTCCAGAGGCCAGTCCAAAAGAAACTTCCCACAAGAAACCCAACCCTGAGACCCCAGGACGTCCTTTGATTTTGGTGTGGGAACGTCGCGCTTTCCATAGCAAAAGCATCTAAACCAAGAAACCCAGGGCACCCTGGAGGCAAGCAGGGTGTTTCTTGGCATGGTCCTCCACTGTACCTACGATCCCCTTCCTCCTCCTTCTCCGCCCAGAACGAAGCCTCCGCGCACCGTGGTTCGCTTGAGTTTGGCACCGTTGGGGCCAAGGCGTCCACGCAGGAATTCTATCTCACAGCGTTGTTTCCGCATAGATGTCAGGACATGCACTGCCCCAGCGGATGGACAGCCTACCGCCACCACGCCAGTGACACGGACACCGACGGCTATGACGACGACCGATGGCATTATGCAGTATACTACCATGAAAGGTCCAACACCTATACGTACATGTTCCCCAATGACGACCTTCTGGTACCAGGATGGCACAGGTAACTGGATAAGTTCAACAACGAGCTCTTCATACACCGCGACCAACAACAAGACCTACCAGCTACCACTCACGAGTGATACTGAATACCTCGAACTGAAAAACGCAATACACGCCGACACCTTTCTACCTTCCCCAAAATCCCGCAAGCGGCCAACCCAGACTCCGCTACGGCAACGACATTGATGCATTTGCCAGCCACTATCGTAACAACGCGGCACTCCGACTCGCAGTAACCACCACCAACCAACACTTCCTCCTCCTCCTTTTCCTCCTCCTCCTCCTCCTCCTCCTCCTCCTCCTCCTCCCTTCCCCTCCTCCCCCTCCACCCCCCGCGAACCCTCCCCGATCCTCCTCCCCACCTCCCTCCTCGATCCCTCCGCGATCCTCGACCCGCGCGGGTCCTCCGCGAGCCCGCCAACCCCGCCCCGACGGCGGCCTTGAACCCGCCGAAGAGGCTCCGGACGCCGGACGCCAACGCCTGGGGCTCTCGCGCTCCGCGGGGGCTTGCGCAGCGCGCGCCCAAGGGGGCCTGGAGTTCTTGCTGCTCCCCTCGTGCTGAAAGACCACATCCCAGACATAGTGTCGAGCACCCGGAAACGTGTCGAAAGAGTGCTGAAAGGGTGTCGGACGAGTGTCCCCCAGGGCCCGATGCGTGAAAGCCCTCGAGTTTCGGTGCTTTTTTTTGGTGCTCGAAGCTCTTTCTGGTGATCAAGGCTAAAAAAATAAGCTGGAACATCATACAGTGCGGGCGCGGCCGCAAGACACCCTCGCAAGAAGCCCAACCCTGAAAACCCGCGCGCGGGGCGCACCCGAAGGGAAGCCCAGAGCACCCTGAGCGCAGCAGCTTCTGCAACGGCTGCGGGAAGTCACCGCGCAGCGCGGGGAGCGAAGAGACCCACGATACCCTGACGAAGAGCATCTGGTCTCGTGATGCGCGCCCCCGGTGTGAGCTCGGGGGGGGGGATCGACGGCCCGTGGAGGCCGAGGCTCGTGCCGGGCGAAGGGGGGGGATAGCAAAGGGGGGGGTTTGAGAATCAGCTCACGTAGCTGATTTTACCGGCGCCTCCCGGCGCTGGGGGCGGCCATGTATCGAGGAATGGGCCCCTCGGTGGGGCCGGAACTAGCTGCGTGCAGCAGATTTCGTAATCCCCCCTTTCCCAATCCCCCCCTTTCGTCCGACCCGAGAGGCGGGGCCGTGGAGCTCCTGGGGCCCTGCGAGCCTGGTGCTGCACTTTTCTCACGGCGGGCGTTCTGTATCGCCGGGCGTCGGGCCACGGGGCCCTCACACGGGGCAGACACTCCACCCCGACAACGCCCACCCCGACACGCGAAGCCGTTTAGGAAACGCGCCCAAAGAAAGACAGGGCCGTTTGGTAAACGCACAGGGCCGTTTAGCGAACGCGCCCAAAGAAGGAATCGAACAGGGCAAGGCTGCTTGGTACACGCCCAGGGCCGTTCCGTAAACGCCAACTTGTCCGGTCCGGGTGGTTTTTCCTCCCTTGACCTCGCACATCGGTCCGGCCAGAAAAATGCCGCAGAGAGATCGGGCCCAAGGCTCTGGGGGTGATGTTTCGCGATGTTGCGATTTTTTCTCGCAGCGTCGGATCCGAGGGCAGCGAGGGGAAAGAGGGAGGGGGGCGGACGAAGAGCAACAGCGGCAGCGACGAGGCCAGCTGCAGTGGCAGCGGCAACGGCATGGCGCAGCAGAGTTCCCCTGGAAGCCGCCCCCAGGGCTGAGCGAGCGGCCACCAGTGCGAGCAGGCGTCCGGGCCTGTAGCTAAGACAGGTGAAGATGCCGTTGCCCCTGGGACGTGCCATGTGCCGTGCTGCGCGAGACGTGCAGCAAGTTGCGGGAGGTGTGGGAGTGGGGGAGGAAGAGGAGGGGCCCTGACCTGTCCGCCTCAGGCGACCTGTCGGTGGCTCTCCTGGCCGCTGTGCCACATTGCTTGAGAGAGCGTACGCTTGCAGTTTAATTTGGTGCACTTCGTCTTCAATTCTTGATTTCTTATTCGTGCATTTCAATCACACTCGTGGCTGGTTGCTGCATTCAATACTTATTTACTCACCTGTCCTGGTCAGAAAGCTCGTCGTTGGTCGCCAAAACGAGGTGGCGGAGGAAAAAGAGGCGCCTGGCGCCCCAACTGCCCGCCAGGCCCGTGTTGGCAGCCAGGCGGCAGGAGGCTCCGTCTCTTCCTCGGGTCGTCGTTGTCGTCGTCGTCGTCGTCGTCGTCGTCGTCGTCGTCGTCGTCGACTTCGACGACGACGACCCACACGTCTCTTGCACCTCAGGGACAGCAGTCGGCGGCAACGAGATCAGGAGGCAGTGCTCGCGTCGATGGGTGGCGACGCATCGGCCACCCTGTGGAGATCCGCGGGGCCCTCGGTTCTGAGGGGGGGCGACAGGGGGGGACTGGCCTGCGGGGGGGAAAGCCATAGCCAATAGATCGAGAGGCCCCCTGGAGCGAAGCTCTCGGCGAACCGCAACTGCTGGAACGCATTCCGAAGACGGAATATCGCTGAAAACCTGCGAATACACATGAAAACCTCGAATATAGAACCTGCCGCCCCCCCGTGAACCTCGAGAGTGTCGTCCCTCCAAGGGCCCATCCCCCTGAGCGTAGCCTTGCTGTTAATGCTCCCGATGAACTCTCCCCGCCCCTCCTCGCGCGCGGCCGCCATCGCTTTTCTTTCCTCGTCGGGCCTGGCCCGCTGGTAGTGGTCGTCGTGGCCATGGTCCTCGTGGTCGCGGTCGTGGTCGGTCGTCGTCCTTGTCGCCATCGTCGTCGGTCGTCGTTTTCCCCCTCTCCAATCTGGTCTGTTCCTCAGCCCCGGCGCGCACCTAGCTTTGAGGTGCGTGTCGCACCATTGGGGCTACGCAAGCGTGTGCAGTCCCCAGCACAGCAATCGTTAAAGACCTCCACGAGTCTGCGGGCGAAACGCAGCTAATCCAGATCTCGTGAACGGAAATAGGGAAACGAAGTGCCGAACCGTCCGTCCGAAAAATATCCGTAGGTAGAGGAAGGATGGCAGCGTTTTTTTTTTTTTTTTTTTTTTTTTTTTTTTTTTTTTTTTTTTTTTTTTTTTTTTTTTTTTTTTTTTGTGTTTTTTGTTTTTTTTTGTTTTGAATGCTGTCCAACCACGTCAGACTGAGTATCTCCAGTACCTGAGCTGAGAAGGGGCAGCGGCAGAGAAGAGTAAGAGTGGGAGAGAGAAAGAATTCACACACAGATCTCGGGAGGGCCGCACGGCACAGATCACTGCGCCCCGAGGGGAGGGGGGAAGGAGGACGAGAGCATGCAGCACGGAACCGGCCTCCTGTACAGACCGGCCCTGGGAGCCGAGCGGTGGAGCGGACGGGGGTGAGACCTGCCGTCGCTCGGACGTCCATTGCCCGTGCAGTTTCCCGCGTCGTGCGTTTTTTTGTTTTTGTTTTGTTTGGTTGCTTCTCGCACGATGACCCAGGTTGCTCCTCGATGAAGGAGGAGCAGGAGGAAGACGAAGGGGAGGAGGAGGAGGACGAGGAGGAGGAGGAGGAGAAGGAGGCGGAGGTGGAGGAGGAGGAGGATGGGATGGGACGGCGCCTCAAGACAGTCGAGACGGGAGGGAACAGCCCGAAAAGAGAGACAGAACAATGCTCGAGCACGCACTGCTGGCGAAAGGCTCGAGACAGGTATGCGGCGTCACCTGGGGTTGCGCTGCTCGCGCTACCCTCCAGGCCGTGCCTCCCTCCAGACGAGGGAAGTCCACCGTGGCCACTCCCTGAGAGGTATGCAGCAACACCTGGGACCGCGCACAGCGCTATCCTCCAGGCTGTGCCTCCTGCCACACGCAAGAAGACCACCGAAACCACTCCCTCAACAGTGCGCCCGACGCACAGCAAAGAGGCTCACGCACCGCCACGGCCGCCTAGGCAGCGGCGGCGAGAGCACATCTGTACTTCTCTAGGAGACCCTGTTGCGACTCCAGGCTCAAGCACGCAAGCGCGTCGAGCGCCCCATCGCTCGCATCAGGGTTGATCTCACGCATTACGGCGAGCAGCTCATGGCGCACACTCGCACAGGGGAGAACGCCTTTCTCCACCTTGGTGCCGTCCGCGTCCTCGAGAGGGCTATCGTCGTCTGCCTCCTCCTCGTCCGCGTCCAGGCCGCACGAGTCCGAGCCGTCCTCGACCGCCTCGCACTCTACCTTCTGCTGCTGCTTGGGCATGGCATCCTGCTCCAGGGAGTGCGACGCCTCGCCGATCTTCTCATTCTGTTTCAATATCTGCCCGTCCTGCACTTCCACAGTTGTCTGCAGCAGCTTCTCGCACTTGACGGTCTTACGAATGCCGTCATCCTCCAGGACCTTCTCCACGCAGTGCAACTCCGGCACTGGGTCCTCAGGCACCTCCTCGCCCCTCTCCTGGAGGGCCTGGGGCACCTTCTGGATCTTCTCCACGTAGTGCGCCTACTGCGCGTGGACCATGGGCACGGCCACGGACTCATCCATGTGCGGCTCCATGTGGCTGCCGTCTACGAGCGGCGCCACAACGCCAACGATGCCCAGGACGTCCGCCCGCAAAGTCATGGTGATGTCCTTGATGTCAGCGATGGCCTCCAGGACCTTGTCGAAATATCCATCCCCGACCACGGCGCTTTCCTCCGACTGGGACTCCCCCGTGCCCGCCCCGCTGTCGACCAGCAGCGGGAAAGCCGAATTGCTCCTCCTTGAGCTCCAGCTCCTCCTCCCCCGACTTTATGTTGGAGGATCTGTCGTAGCTCTCCGCGCCGTGCGACCAGGAGCTGTTCGCGTCAACCTTGACGGACCCCACGAACGCCTTGTGGATGTCCTGGCACAGCGACACGTCGAGGTGCCCCGCCGTGTTGTGCAGCTTCGTGACCTTCCCGAGCCGCGAGGCGAGCGCGGTCGCGCCACGCCCACGAAGAATAGCCTTCGCCTCCGACACGCTGGGTTTTGCCGCGAAGCCCGCACATGCCTGGACCTCGCGCTCTAGGACCTCCATGGAGACGAGAGCCGTCTCAACCGGCGACGCGGTGGGGGGCGGCGCGCCTCCCTCGCCAGCGTCTTGCGGAACTTGGCCGCCAGCCACAGCTCCTTGTACTGCACCGCGCGCGGTCGCCGCCTGCAGCGCCTTCCCGGAAAGCCCAGCCTGCGAGCAGCCGAGCACCGCGCCGAGGACCGCCTGCGCAGCAGGCGGTAAGCTGCCGGACATGGCAGCCAAAGCCCTTCCGCACGGGGGGCGCCGCCGCGGCCGACTCATGCCCAATGGCTTGAGCCAAAATGGCTACGGGAAGGAGGAGGAGGAGGAGGAGGAGGAGGAGGAGGAGGAGGAGGAGGAGGAGGAGGAGGAGGAGGAGGAGGAGGAGGACGAAGACGAGGAGCAGGAGCACGTCCGAGCGATGCCAAGTGAAGGGCCGACGGGATGCGGGGGTCGGAGGTCGTGGGGCGTCGTGGGGCGGAGTCGGCGGTCGTGCGAGGTCGCACTCGGGCAGCGCTGCCCGCGGCGGTCACGACGGGAACGGCGGCGACGCTCGCGGCTCAGTCGGAAGCACGCGCGTGGCGTAGGCGGCCTCCTCATTCTCAGCCTCCACCTGCTCCTCCTCCCCCTCTGCTGCCGCTACATGTTTATCCTTGCGTGGTGTAGCCGATTACGATTGTTGCATTTTCAGACATGGCCTTTTAGCAGATGCTTCACGTACCTTTGGACTGCGGCGTTCTCTGTAGACTTGGCCCAGTTGACATTCACCTCGGTGCGCTCTGGCCAGGGGTTGGCCTCCGCATCTGCCTCCTCCTCAGCCCCTGCTGGCTGTCCTCGCCTTCTGCCTCCTCTTCCTCCTTTTCCCTTTCTTCTTCCTTCTCCTCCTCCTCCTCCTCCTCCTCCTTCTCCTCCTCCTCCTCCTCCTCTTCCCCCTACGTCCCCCTCCCTCTCCCCCTCCTCCTCCTCCTCCTCCTCCTCCTCCTGCTCCCCCTCGTCTTCATACTCCTCCTCCTCCTTCTCCTTCTCCTCCTCCTTCCTCCTCCTCCTCCTCCTCCTCCTCCTCCTCCTCCTCCTCCTCCTCCTCCTCCTCCTCCTCCTCCTCTCCTCCTCCTCCCTCCTCCTCCTCTTCCCCCCCTCGTCCTTCCTCCTCCTCTTCCTTGTCCCCCTCCCCTTGTCCTCGTTTCTCTCCCCCTCGTCCCCCTCCTCCTCCTCCTCCCCTCCTCCTCCTCCTCCTCCTCCTCCTCCTCGTCCTCCTCCTCCTCGCCCTCCTCGTTCTCCGCCTCCCCTTCCTCCACGTCCCGCCTTGCCGGCGTTCAGAAGCGGGTCGTCGTCCAGGCGGTTCTGGTAGTCCGCATTGGGGTCCCGCTGCGGAGTCGACTGGCGGGCGACGGAGATGTCGGCATTTTGCTTTTGCTCCTCTTCCCTCGTCGTCTCTCTTCGTCCTCCTCTCTCCTTCTCCTCCCCTCCTCCTCCTCCTCCTACTCCTCCTCCTTCTCCTCCTCCTCCTCCGTAGCCATTTTGACTCAAGCTAGCCTCAAGCCCCCTGGTGCGCCATTTTCCCGTTCGGCATGTGGCGTCTGGAGCTGGCGGTTTGAGGAGATGGATCTACGGGACGGCATGGGAGATGCATGCCAAAGGTCCCGTCGTACCGCGGCCGACCGTCGGGTGCGGCGCGAGTGGGCCAAAGAGAGCGCGGACAGGGCTATCAGGAAGCTGTCGGACGAGCTGCAGCGCTCGCGTCTCCAGCTCAAGGAGATGCAGGCCTCGCTTGCGGAGCTCTTCGGCAACGGCGAGATCTGGGACAGGATCATCGCGGTCGTCCTGGCCTTGTCCGCCTTGCTGGCCGAGCAAGCCCCAGAGCATCTGGATGTGCTCAGGCGGAAAGTGGCCCTACATTCGCGCGGGAGCCGTGGCTTCCGCTTCTCCGCGGCTTCGGCGGAGCAATTGCGAGGGGCTCAGCGGGGACCGCGACTGGGCCGAGCGGCTCCGACGTTTTCAGCTCCCGATGCGGCAGTGTCTGCTGGTGGCGATGTCGAGGGCCTCATCGGCTGCGTGGCGCCGCCCTTCGAAGAGGGAGAGGACGACCACGTCGACATCACGAGCAAGGTGGTGCAGATCGACAGCGGCGGCGGGCTGGCGCAGCAAAGCGGCGAGTCGAGGACCTTCGACGACTCGGAGGTGCCGATCGTCGACGTCGGCGGTGGCGTCCTGGAGGCCCTCCTCCGCGGCGCCCAGGAGCGGCTGGATTCGGCGGCGCTCGCGATCGCTGGATCAAGGGGCCGTGGATTGGACGACGGCTCCGAGGCGCAGCGCTCCGAGCTCGCGGCGGCCGCCGACCGCCTCGTCGAGCTCGAAGCGCAGCTCGCCGCGTTCGCCGCGGTGCAGGCGCAGACGGCTGTCGGGCGGTTTCCCGCCGAGCACGACCTCGCCGACGGCGACGGCGGCGACGTGCATGGCCGTGCAGGCGCAGCTGACCGCCGCCCTCCTGGCCCATGGGCGGACAAGTTCGTGGGCTGCGAGTTCGGCCCCGCGGGCGCGGGCTGGAGGCCGCCGACGGCGGGGCCGCAGCCTGGCGGTCCCCAGGCCGCTGCGGCCGCCCGCGCCCGCGACTGCGCCCAGCTCTTCGCCTCCTTCGCGATGGAGCCCGGGCGGCCGTTGCAGGAGGCCGAGGGCGGCGTGGCGCACGCCGTGTACGAGGTCGGCGCGGGCAGAGCCTGGGGTTAAACCCAGGCTCGGCCTGCGCTCAGGGCGGTGAGGCCTCGGCAGGGGTCCCTGGGGCTCCCGGAGGTCTCGCGGGGCTCGTGGGGCCTCCGTGGGAATTCGGTTGCATGACCCTCCTGGGTCGAGTCTTGCCTCCTCCTCCTCCTCCTCCTCCTTTCTCCTCCTCCTCCTCCTCCTCCTCTTCCGAGGAGGAGGAGGAGGAGGAGGAGGAGGAGGAGGAGGAGGAGGAGGAGGAGGAGGAGGAGGAGAAGGAGGCCTCCTGCACCAAAGCCGACCTGTCTGGACCTCTCCCCGAGTCCTGGCCACCAGGACCTCGAGACGGGCCCGGCCGCGGCGTGGAGGACCCCCGCCCCGAAGGGCCCTTCCTGGGCCTGGAGACACTCCTGCTACAGTGGGGTCCCGACCACAAGAAACCTTCCACAAGAAACCCAACCCTGAGACCCCGGGGCGTCCATTGATTGCTGGTGTGGGAACGTAGCGCTGTTTATCGCAAAACCATCGGAACCCAAGTCGCCCAGGGCACACTGGGGGCAAGCAGGGTGTTTCTTGGCATGGGTTTCCGCTGTACTCCTCCCCCTCCCCCTCCCGCTCCAGGGCAGAGGGGGAACTTTCGGGGGGGACTGGCTCAGGGGAGGGGGGACTATCGGGGTAGGATCGGCGATATAACATCGCCGATCGATCGGCAAGGCCGCCCGATGGCGAATACGCATGCTTCTGGACGGGTTGGGCTACCAGTCCCCAATCGGCGATCCATGGGCGACTGGGGGTCGATGCATCCCCACCTGAGTTCACCCCCTCTAGCTCTGCCCCCCGTGCATTTATTGATTTGTTGCGTGCATTTTCGCAAGATTACCCAGGACGCTCCTCGATGGCCCTCGCCGAACAGTGCACACGTCCAAGCGATGCCAAGCTGAACGGCGTGGCCTGCTGGCCATCCCCTTGCGTGGTCCCCGAACAAAATTATAGCCGGAGTGCAGTATCCCCAAACAGGGTTTTTAGACCCACTGCGGTTTCCAAGGTAGATTGCGTGCCCGTCCAGTGCGGGCTGGCATGGCATGTTAAAACATGCCTCCTCCTGCTCCTCCTGCTCCTCCTGCTCCTCCTGCTCCTCCTCCTGCTCCTCCTCCTCCTGCTCCTCCTCCTCCTCCTCCTCCTCCTCCTCCTCTTCATCATCATCCCGAACAGCATCTCGGAGCCCAGAGTTGCGAGGATGTCTCCAGCGTGACGAGCTGGACCACCTCGCGCGCGGCATTTCGGACCCCAAAGTTGCGACGATGTCTCGGGCGAAACGTGCTGCGAGGAAGTCTCAGGCGAAACGGGCCGGACCACCTCGAGCGTGGCGTCTCAGAGCTCCGAGTTGCGGGGGCCTCCTGGGGCCTCCTGGGACCTCCTGGTGACCTCCTGGGGCTTCCTCCTGGGCCTCCTGTGGCCTCCTGGACCCCACCTGGGGCTTCCTGAAGCCTCTTGGGGCTCCCAGGGGGGGATATCTAACATGTGGCCGTCGGGGCTCCCCAAAATGGGGGAGGGGGGCCATAAGAGCAGGAACAATCAACGAATCGACACCGGATGTGTATTAACACTTGACACGTTCTGATAGGGGGCCGCCTGGGGCCTCCTGGGAGCCTCCTGGGAATCTCCTGGAGACCCTTGGGGCCTGTCCTGGGCGTCCTGCGGCCTCCTGGAGCTCTGTGGGGCCTCCTGGAAGCCACATGTGGTCTTCTGGGCGCCCAGGCTGGACCACCTCTTGCGCAGCATCTGAGAGCTCAGATTTGCGAGAATGTCTTGTGCGAAACGGGCCGGACCACCTTGCGCACGGCATCTCAGAGCTCAGAGTTGCGAGGATGTCTCAGGCGAGATGGGCCGGACCACCTCGCGCAGGGCATCTCGGAGCCCAGAGTTGCGAGGATGTCTCCAGCGTGACGGGCTGGACCACCTCGCGCGCGGCATCTCGGACCCCAGAGTTGCGACGATGTCTCGGGCGAAACGTGCTGCGAGGAAGTCTCAGGCGAAACGGGCCCGACCACCTCGAGCGTGGCGTCTCAGAGCTCCGAGTTGCGGGGGCCTCCTGGGGCCTCCTGGGACCTCCTGGTGACCTCCTGGGGCTTCCTCCTTGGCTTCCTGTGGCCTCCTGGACCCCACCTGGGGCTTCCTGAAGCCTCTTGGGGTTCCCAGGGGGGGATATCTAACATGTGGCCGTCGGGGCTCCCCAAAATGGGGGAGGGGGGCCATAAGAGCAGGAAAAATCAACGAATCGACACCGGATGTGTATTACCTGGACACGTTCTGATAGGGGGCCGCCTGGGGCCTCCTGGGAGCCTCCTGGGAATCTCCTGCGGACCCCTGGGGCCTGTGCTGGGCGTCCTGCGGCTTCCTGAAGCTCTCTGGGGCCTCCTGGGGCTCGCAGGGTCCCAGGGGGGATATGTAACATGTGGTCTTCTGGGCCCCCAGGCTGGACCACCTCTTGCGCAGCATCTGAGAGCTCAGACTTGCGAGGATGTCTCAGGCGAGATGGGCCGGACCACCTCGCGCAGGGCATCTCGGAGCCCAGAGTTGCGAGGATGTCTCCAGCGTGACGGGCTGGACCACCTCGCGCGCGGCATCTCGGACCCCAGAGTTGCGACGATGTCTCGGGCGAAACGTGCTGCGAGGAAGTCTCAGGCGAAACGGGCCGGACCACCTCGAGCGCGGCATCTCAGAGCCTAGAACTTCGAGGATGTCTGATGCGAAACGGGCCAGACCACCTCTCGCGCCGCATCTGGGAGCTCAGACTTGCGAGGACGTCTCAGGCGAAACGGGCCGGACCACTCCTCGCGCGGCATCTGGGAGCTCAGAGTTGCGAGGATGTCGCAGGCGTAACGGGCCGGAATACCTCGCGCACGGCAACTCAGAGCCCAGAGTTTGGAGGATGTCTCAGGCGAGACGGGCCCGACCACCTCGCGCGCGGCCTGTCAGCCCAGAATTTCGAGGAGGTCTCAGGCGAAAAGGGCCAGAAGACCTCGCGCGCGGCATCTCGGGGCTCAGAGTTTAGAGGATGTCTCAAGCGAAACGGGCCAGACCACCTCTCGCGCGGCATCAAAGAGCGCAGAGTTGCGAGGATGTCTCATGCGAAACGGGCCAGACCACCTCGCGCACGGCATCTCGGAGCCCAGAGTTGCGAGGAAGTCTCTAGCGAAATGGGCTGGACCACCTCTTGCGCGGCATCTCAGAACTCAGAGTTGCGAGGATGTCTCAGGCGAAACGGGCTGGACCACCTCTTGCGCGGCATCTCAGAGCTCAGAGTTTCGAGGATGTCTCAGGCGAAATGGGCTGGACCACCTCTTGCGCGGCATCTCAGAGCTCAGAGTTTCGAGGATGTCTCAAGCGAAACGGGCCGGACCTCCATTCGCACGGCATCGGGGAGATCAGAGTTTCGAGGATGTCTCAGGCGAAACGGGCCGGACCACCTCTCGCGCGGCATCTTGGAGCTCAGAGTTTCGAGGATGTCTCAGGCGAAATGGGCTGGACCACCTCTCGCGCGGCATCTCAGAGCTCAGAGTTTCGAGGATGTCTCAAGCGAAACGGGCCGGACCACCTCGCGCACGGCATCGGGGAGATCAGAGTTTCGAGGATGTCTCAGGCGAAACGGGCCGGAGCACCTCGCGCGCGGCATCTTGGAGCTCAGAGTTGCGAGGATGTCTCAGGCGAAACGGCCCGGACCACCTCTCGCGCGGCATCTGGGAGCTCAGAGTTTGGAGGATGTCTCAAGCGAAACGGGCCGGACCACCTCTCGCGCGGCCTCTCAGAGCTCAGATTTAGGAGGATGTCTCAGGCGAAACGCTCAATCCCGGACAACTCAGAAACGAGAGTTGTGAGGATGTCTCAGGCGAAACGGGCCGGACCACCACATTTGTTTGAGGATGTCTCTGCTTAGCTTTCCCTCGGCCGGAGTTAGCTTCTATCACAACAGCACCCCGTTCAGCAAGCTGTTTGGGGAACAACTTCCCCCTGGCGCTCAGATCGCGAAACGGCCTCCCGCATTGAGTCTCTCGCGACGCCGAGGAGGCTTGCGACGACCGACGACGACGGCGACGGCAACCGCGACGTTGACGGCGACGGCTACGACTGTCGACGACAAGTCCGACGACGGTGATGGCGGCGGCGTCGACGACTTCGACGACGATGCCGACGACGACGACGACGACGTTGACGGCGCGACGACTTCGACGACGGCGACGGCCAAGAGGTCGACGACGTCGTCGCTGCCGTCGTCGGCGACTCGGGTGTTGCCAAAGGTGTCCCTTGCTCAAAGCGTCCCTAAGATTTCCACGGACGCCCCCACGGCCTCCAGAGCACCCCTCACGAGGCCCAGATGGCCCCACCGCCACTGAGCCGAGCATTCAGAAGGACGCGTGGGCAGGAGAGTGCGCAATTGGCAACTCTTTGGGGAAAACCAGAAAAGCGTCGAAAAGTGGTTGCATGTGCCTTAGGAACTCGACTGCGAAGCAGGAGCGGAAAGGAGGGGAGGGAGGGACAGGAGGACGACCGCAAAAGACAGCGAGACAGAGAGAGAGATAGAGAGGAATAGAGGAATATATATATATATATATATAAAGAAATATATATATAGAGAGAGATAGAGAGAGAGAGAGAGAGAAAGAAAGAGAGCGAGAGAGAGAGAGAGAGAGAGAGAGGGAGAGAGCGAGATCAAGAGAAAGAGAGCGAGATAAAGAGAAAGAGAGAGATAGGGAGAGAGAGAAAGTCCTCAGAGGTGCTGCGCCATCCTCGGAGGAACAACAAGGCACGCGCGGATTTCTTGGACCAGCGCTGGTGGGCCCCCTTCTCTGGCGCGCGGAGCGGACCAGGGGCGGCCCGGGCGCCGACCCAGAAAACCCCGCGCGCCTGGAGCCTCGCTCCCTTGGGAAGCGAACCGCTGCGCCACGATCAAACACGGGTCCTGCGCGAGATGGCACAGCGACCTGCCGCCGCAGCCTGCGCGGGCCGCCAGCCGGGCACGCCACGCTGGAGACGAGGGCGCCTACGCGCGAGCTTACGCGGGCAGCCTGCGCGCGAGTGCCGGCGAAGAGGACCCCGTTTTTTTTGTTGCAACGCCCAGCTGGGGCCACCCCGGGACCAGGCACACCCCCGACAAGGCCTGCCGCCCTCGCACCTCGGACTCGAGCTCGAACCTTGGAGCCCCCAGCCCCTGCTCGGAACACCGGCGGTGCCCCCCCCCCCCCCTCCGACCCGCAGACCCGCCGCCGCGCCCGTCCTCGGACACTTTCTCGGGGGTTGCCAGGAGCGGCCCCCTGACCCAAGGGTGCCCCCCCGAGCTTTCCGCTGAACTCTGGAGCCCCTGGGGCCCCCTGGGCCTCGTGAGGGGCGCTCTGGAAGGCCGTGGGGGCCTCCATGAAAGCCCGGGGGGGGGGGCACCTCGGGCCAGGGGCACTTCTAGCAACACCCGAAACTTGGTTCTTGGATTGCGTTGTTCAACGTACTTACGGACCACATCCAAGACAACAAACATCGAGCACCCAGGAAAAGTGTCGAAACTGTGTCTGCCCGACGCGCTAGTCAAGTGTCGAAGGAGTATCGCCTCCCAGGGCCCGACACGTGGTATCCCTCCGTTTGGGTAGTTCCCTGGTGCTCGATCTTCTTTGTGGTGATCAAGGCTAAAGCAGGTTGTAGCATCATACAGTAGGAGCTCCAACACAAGGCACTTTCCATAAGAAACCCAACCCTGGAACCAACCACAGGACGTCCATTGATTTTTGGTGTGGGAACGTCACGCTTCCCATGGCAAAACCATCGAAACCCAAGACACTCAGGGCACCTTGGAGGCAAGCAGGGTCTTTCTTGGCATGGGCCTCCACTCTATCTCCGAATCCTGACCACCAGGACCTTGAGACGGGCCCAGCCGCGGCGAAGAGGGCCCCCGCCCCGAAGGCGCCCCTCCTGGGCCCAGAGACGCTCCTGCTACTCCTTCACCTCCCCCTTCCTCCTCCTCTTCCTCCTCCTCCTCCCTCTCTCTCCTCCTTCTCTCCTTCTCCTCCTTCTCCTCCTCTTCCCTCCTCCCTCCTCCCTCCCCCCTCCCCCCCTCCTCCCTCCTCCCTTCCCCCTCCTCCCTCCTCCTCCCTCCTCCCTCCCTCCTCCTCCCTTCTCGTCCTCCCTCCTCCCTCCTCCCTCCTCCGGTCCCCCCGCCAAGCGGCGGCTGTGGCGGCGGGACGGGCCGCCGCCTCGCCGCTGGCGTCGCCCGCGAGGCCGCCGCCACCCAGCAGGGGGCCTGCGCCGCGGCACCGGGCCGTCGCGGCGGTCTGAGGAGATCCCGACGACGACGACGACGACGACGACGACGACGACGACGACGACGACGACGACGACGACGACAACGGCGGCGCTGGTGGCGACGACGACGACAACGACGACGACGACGACGACGACGACAACGGCGGCGCTGGCGGCGACGGTGACGACGACGACGACGATGACGACTGTGGCGGCGGCGGCGACGACGACGACGACGGCGACGGCGGCGGCGCGTCAGGCCGACCCCTGAGGATCCTTGCGACTCGGCGCGACCGAGGCGAGCCTCTGAGGAGAGGCAGGCCTGAACTGGATCGCATGGCGAAGCCGGTCGGATCCGAAACGGCCAGGACTCGCCGGCGAAGCGTCCCGTGAGCCCCAGCAGTTGGTCTCCTAGAATTAGGTCGGGCATGTCCCCCTAGAGGCGGATTTGGACGAAAAATAAAACATAGTCGAACAATGCCCCAACATAGTCAAACACAGCTGAAACAACCGTCCTCAGACTGGTCTCTGACTACTTTTGAGCATTCCTCTTGTAGAGGGGCACGCCCGACTGAAATGTAGCCTGTGCCATCCAAGACAGAGAACCAGCGGGTCTGGCAGATGCATCGAGCGCCCCGGCAGTTCCGGAGCGTTCTGGAGCGCCTCGAGAGCAGCCAGCGTTCGGGAGAGCTCTGGAGTGATTGCTTGTCGTCCCGATCGTGTGTCATTCGGGCATGTCTCCCTACAGGCGGATTTTGGGCGAAAAATCAACAGTAGGCAACAAATGCTCAAAAATAGCTACAAAAAGGCTCCAACAATAATCCCCCGACTATTTTTGAATTTCCCCCGTAGAGGGACAGGCCCGACTTCAGCCTAGGTCCTGGACCTCTTCTCCAGTTTCGGGGCTCCAGGGGCCCTCCACGGGCCCTGGGACCGTGCAACACTGCTCGGAGCGAAGGCCTTGTCCTGGGGAGGGCCCTGGGATCCAGGACCCGTTTCCCGCGGGGCCTCTCCCCTCGTGGCGAGAGGCGCGAGGATGCAGGCGAGCACGAAGTACAGCAGGGTGCGAATGCGCAGGCGGCCAGAAGTGCAGGCAGCGGCGGGGAAGAGGGCGTTCAGCTCAGGGCACCCCAGACCAGGACGCTGCCAACGAGGACTTGGAAGCTCAGACCTGGAGAGACCGAAGAGTGGAGACTGCTCCGACCCGCGGCTGCAACTTTCTTGGGCGCGCCACCGGAGGCCTCCTGGCCGGGGTCCGAGCAGGTGGGGTCGGAGGCTCGTGCATCATCGCTGATGCATCGGCGACGCGGCTCGATCTGGAACCCGACTTTCTCCACGCCGAGATGTCGCCGATGCATCGCCGATGCATCGGCGATGCATCGGCGATGCATCTGCAACGCATCGGCGATGCATCGGCGATGCGGCGCGATCCTCCGACTTCACCTGCTCGGACCCCATCTGGGAGGCCTGGAGCCGCTGGAGGCCTGGAGCCGCTGCCCTAGTGTATCCGAAAATCCCCGCTT